TGAGGATCCTGATCACCAATTTTTTAAACTGTGCGTCTGTGAGTTTTGCTATTTCTTCATCGCTTAGATTTATTTCTGGGGCTCTGAGATCCTCCTGCGCCATTCTTGGTCTGTTCGGGCCCTTTAAGTGTGAGAAGCGGCGGCTTGGATTCCCAGGTCGCTGGGTTGTGACGCTATATGTGGGGGCGTGGCCAGAGCGGGGAAATGGCGACCCCCTCTGCCGCTTCTCACAGCTGGGTGCGGAGGAGCAGTGCCTTAGGTGGTTCACCTGGGCCGGGCCACTCAGAGTTGCTGGGTTATGACGCTGTATGTGGAGGTGGGGTCAGAGCAGGGAAATGGCGGCGCCCTCCACTGCCGCTTGCCGTGGGGACCTGCCGGCCTGGTCCAACCGCCCACTTCCTCGCCTGTCCACCCTCGCACAAATGCGCGACCTCAGTCAACACGCAGCCCCGGCCCGGCTGTCTCCCCCGAGGTCGCTCGCCTGGTTGCTCGCTGGGTCGCTCACTAGGTCTGACCCTGCGTCTGGATTCCGCGGGCCTGAGTGTGTCTGGCCGAGTCCTCCTGTGCAACCCTGCTCCGCCAGCCGCTGGTTTCGCCCCTTACCGGTCAGGCTGAAGAATTTGTTGTTAACGGACTTCCGAAAAGTTCAATTTTCCGTGTTCTGGCTGTGTTTTCTGTTGCTAATATTTAGTTTTCTCTAATCTTGGTTGTGGGAGAAGGCACGGCACATCCACCTATGCCTCCATCTTGGCGGAAGTCCACTTCCATGACTTTTTAAAAAATTATTTATTTATTTACCTTTAGAAGGGAAGGGAAAGAGAGAGGGAGAGAAACATCAATGTATGGTTTTCTTTTGTGCGTCTCCTGCTGGGAACTGGCCTGCAGGGAACCGGCCTGCAACCCCAGTATGTGCCCTGACTGGGAATCGAACCACGATTGTCTGGTTTGCAGGCCTGAGCTCAGTCCACTGAGCTACACCAGCCAGGGCTCATTTCCATTACTTTTCACAGCTAGTGTCTACATAAGATTGAAAGCAGGTGTAGAAAAATAAGTTGAATTAAGATAGTAGAAATAGGTGAATCTGTCTTAAATGTTCTTTTACAATAACAAGATTTAAACAGTGTTTTTACAGTCCTAGTAGGGACTTTTAAACTTCATGTTTTCTTCTCAATAAATTATTTTTGTCCAAAGTTAATTATCCTAAACCATCAGGTTCACAGTTGATCTGAAATCCCTTGGATTTTTATCTCTTATATGAAAATTGTTGACTTTGTTTTAAAGTTCTGTGCCAGCCCACCTGTTGCTCTGAAGTTTTCTGTATTGGCAGCTTGTAATCTGTTGGTTAATTTCCTTGTAAATGTTGAAGGTGTCTGAGTGGAATCCTGGGATGCATGTGGACAGTGGAGTCAGACAACTCCAAGTCCTGGCTCTGGCAGCTCCTAGCTAGGGGGAGCCCTTGGACAAATTACTTAACTCTCAGTCATCCTTTCCTGGGTGCTGGAGATTAGTCACCTGACAGAGTTGGGAGACGTAAGTTAGACGTGATCATAGATGTGAAGCATCTGGCTCTGGGCTTCAGCCACAGTAGGCACGTGATAACTGCCAGCTTCTTGCTTCCCTCCCACCCTTCCCCGCCCCCTACCATTAACTGACTTGGTGTAGAGCAAGGGTGTCAAACTCATTTTCACCAGGGGCCACATCAACCTCTCGGTTCCCTTCAAAGGGCTGGAATAATTTTAGGACTGTAAGGAGTTGAAGTTACATTCGGCCCTTTGAAGGCAACTGCAAGGCTGATGTGGCCCCTGGTGAAAATGAGTTTGACACCCCTGATGTAGAGTTTATTCACTTGTTTCTACCTGATGCATGATTCTGCTAGTTGTTTTGGTAATATCCAGACACTGCCCTGCTGGGGAGTCTCCCACAGCACTCTCTGTCTGCACCGTGAAGGCCGTACTCCTGCTCCCAGCATCTTCCCTGTGTGTTTTCACAGCTCATCCCTTGGTGTGACTTCTGCTGTAACTCAGGGATTCTCCAATTTTTGTGTGTTGAGTGTGTTATCTACTGCTCTCTAACAAATTACTCCAAAACTTAGCAACTTAGACAAAACTTTATGTTATCTTGCTATCTCTGAGTCATGTTTGGGAGTGACTTAGCTGCACTGTTCTGACTCAGATGCTTTTGGGTAAGAGCCACAGCTGCAGGCATCTGAAGGCTTGGTTGGGGCTGGTGGGTCACTTCCAAATGGTTCTCTCACCTGGCTGCTGTCAAGAGATTACAGTTGCTCATCTGCTGTGAGCACTAGGCCTCCTTGCCATCTGGGCCTGTCCCTCTAAGAGCTCAGTGTCCTCCTGATGAAAGCCATTGATCTGTGAGAGCGGGAGGCTCTCAGATCACAGCACCTTTTATTGTCCAGGTCACTCTCCTGAGTGCCTTCCCTTTCCCCCACTGTTTCTGCCTTACTCCATTCCTTAGCAGAGCATCACTAAGTGCCCTACACTCAGAGAGAGATTCAGTTCTTCCTTTTGAGAGGAGGTTTGCTAAGGAGTCTGTGGACATACTTAAAAACTACCGCACTTTACTTTGTTGAAAAGTAAGGTTCTCGAGGCCCATTTCAGATCTAGTGACAGGAGGGGCTTAGAAACCTGCAGTTTGCGCCATTAGTTTACCCTAGTGATCCTGATGTAGGTGGCCTGGGGTCCACACTTTGGAAACATACTGCTCTACCAGATGGGTCACTTGGGCTTTCTTAAATAGTTCTCATTGGTCTCACCTCCATATCTTTGCCCACATAAACAGAGCATACATAACCCCTTTTCAACTGTGGACATCTTTTTTTAGGTCCTGCATAAGTCTAAATACCTCCATGGTGCCGCTAACGAACGTGTGAGCTCCCTGTCCCTTGAACTCCAGTAATAGTCCATCTTTTTCAGCTGTTTGGTTATAGTTACTTTGTTTCAGTGCTGTGCTACTAGTGGCAATTTTAAAAATGATTGTTGTTCTCTTGGCCTGCTCTTCTGCCAGCAGAACTGTGACAGGTCGGCAAGGAGCAGTGTGGCCATTAGCAGTGCACGCCAGGGGAGCAGCTCACACTCCAGTTCTTGGTATTTGTCAGGCATGTGAGTCCCTGCTGTGTGCCAGGCTCGGCTTCAGCTGCACCACAGTTGGAGGAGGCAGATGTGCTCCCAGTGGATGGTGAGGTGACAGTAAACGGGAAAAGTACCATCACATCTGGAACAACATTCTAGGGAAGGATGCTATAAAACGCAGGAGACCTACATGGACATGGTTTTCAGAGAATCTGCCTGAGACTGGAAGGATGAGAAGGAGAAATGACTCTCAGGAAGGAAGGAGCTTGGTGTTTGCTGATGCCTGAGAGGAATGGAGGGTGTGGAGGCCCGGGGCTGAGCTGAGTGGTAGGGAGACCAGAGGCGGCCATGGCCCTGGCTCTGTTCTGCATGCAGTGTCCTGAGCTGTGTTGGTGTGGTGTCCGACCTGGAGCTCCTCTAACTCAGCAGTTGTGGAAATAATGGGGAGAACCACGTGGTAGGTGCACATTCAACTCTGACAGGTTGGAAAAGAGGATTTCTGAGTTAGCTGAGCAGAGGGGAGAACAGGGAAAACTCAAACCTGAGTGGTTGTCAGGGAGACTGTCTTCTCATCTCAGGACATAAAGGTGGGGAGTGACCACAGTAGTACCTGGCGGGGTTTCTGTTGCCGAAAAACGCGATCCTGCCTTCAGAGGTGGTGTGGTGTTCCAGACAGAAAGTCCGTTCAGTGTTACCCATGTTTCTGAGCGCTGAGCTCAGTTTGTAGGTCAACTGCATCTATGTCTCTCTCTCTACCCTCAGTTGGTAGCTGCTGGCACACTTCTGGATTAGAAATGGTGGGGAAGGACGAGGACAGTGAGTGCCTTGTGATGTCTTGCCAGCTTTCCTTCTGTCTAGTCCACCAGTGCTCTTCCCAGCCCTCGTCTCCAGAAGGCTATAATGTGTGGGGTATGGGAGACCTGGTTCTGGCCAGACTCCCCATGGAGACTCCAGAGCTAGTGCTTTGGAAGGTCTTGTCCTCTCTTTTTCTGGTTTCCGCCTATTTGCAAGAGGGTTGGATGAGATGGACTCTAAATTTCCGCTATGTTCTGAGACCATCTCATATGAGCCTGGGTCATAACGCTGTGATCCACCTCTGAACTCAAACTATGAGTTCATGCAGCAGCAGTTACTGTTTCTCCTCCTTCTATGTGGTGGCTGGGCAGCTCTGCTTTCTCGCAGTCTCCCCTGGGTTTACTTGTTTGGCAGCATTCAGGTGGTGAGTTGGTGGGGGCTGCGCTCAGCTGGAACAATGGGTCTCTTCTGTGTACAGTCTTTCATCCTCAGAGGCTAGACCATCTTCTTCACATCACGGTGACATCATTCCAAGAAAGCAAGCCCTGCTGCGCATGCATTTTACCCAGCCTCTGCTTGCTTTGAATTTGATAATGTCCCATTGGCCAAAGCAAGGCACACAGCCAGTACCAAAGTGTGAACACATGAGGCAGTACTGATTAGAGCCACTAGTGTAAGTCTCTCACAGCTCCCATGCTAAATTACCTACCTCCAGTGAGGATTTCCTGTTGCTTTTATCAAAATCTTCTCATCGAATTAGTTGGAATTATAAATCTGATACACTCAGGAGGTAGATTATTGGGAGTATAGAAGTTTTGATTTGCAGAATTAGAACCCCAGGTTAGATCTTAAATGTTCCAGGTTACAAAATAGAGTTCAGATTGTGTTATTGTTCTCCTGGGACCTCTGCTTCTTCGACAAGGTAAAATCGAAGAATGTGGTATTGGGTTATAAAGCTACTTCATAGTTACACTGGACTTTATATCAGCCCTAGTGTGGACTACCAAACATTATCATCGAATCAGTTCTCAAAATCAAGATGTAAACTTATATTGCAAAAGTGGAATATGACATGTAGTAACCTGTGCCGGGGGGGGGGGTTGTGTGTTTGTTTTTTAGCTCTTCAGAGAAGTACGAATAATGAAGATTTTAAATCATCCAAACATAGGTACTTTTTGCTTTCTTAAATACTTCTGGGTCTAAATGCATTCTTGAAAGTATGTCATAAGGCTAAACTTGTATTCCAGGAGAGGTAGGTACACATTTAATAAAATATATATACAGATTGTTCATCATATGTATTAAATTTTTGAAATTACTAATAATGGGTTAAAACTTAGTTAAAAATAGTATAACATCTTCTTTACACAGTGATAGCTCCTACAATCTAAAAATATTACTTCGAAAGTGATGTAGCTCTTAAGACAGTTGTATTAGTTCATTATCAAAATCACTTCTAGGAAGTAAGAGAGGTAATATTTGATATTAAGGCTATCCTATTAATAGCCTATCCTATTCCTGAGGCACAAGAAGAGAATGGAGCCACAGGAGAGAAGCCGTTTCATCCAGTCTAAGCTACCATTATTTAAAAAACATTATTTTATGAACCACCAAGAAATAACAGTGCTACCAAGCCATCATCCCATTATCAGTGGTATTTTAAAATGTGAAAAAAATATTCATCTTAAAATCAGTAAAATATGTGGAAAAGAAAAATAACAAGGAATTTAATAATGGAAAGAAAATCTTTCTTCACTTTATTTTAACCTTTGGGGTTAGCCAGCCAATTCTGGATTTCAAATTCTAACTTTTCACCTAAAAATACTTTCTTACTATTGCCTAGAACTAGCTAACTCAAACATATTTATTTTTTAATTACATAAGTTATATATACCCTTACAGGCGTTTTCTCTGCTTATTACTAAATGACATCTTTGATGATAGATGTAAATGTCTAAAATTTTAAATTTCTTTAAATAGTTTTAAAATAGTTTTTCCAGGAGAGCTAATATTTGCATTGGGGTTTTTAGAAAGGTTTTATTTATATGTTGATGGTTTATTAGCATATATGTCTTAAATTTTTTCAGTGATTTTTTCTTAACAGCTTGAACATATATCATCTTAGAAATATGATAGTTTTATCAGTTCAAGAGAGATATATTAAATTCTGCATTGGGCACTTTATTTGATCTAATACTCTGTGTTAAAGCATTAGTAAATAGCCCAAAATATAAAAGATGACTACCCTTTCCTTCCTGTGGTAAATCCAATTTTAAAGCATGTATTACCAAAATAAAGTAGAATGCGAAATAGTGATTTGATAGCTTTAGAAATTTCAGTTTTATTTTAAAATGTATATATTTGATCGATTGTTGTATAGTTTTATGAATTAGCAGTAACAGGGATATTATTTCTGTCTGTAACAGGAACTGTTACAGCAAAGTTACACTGACCCATTGAAAATAATTATTTTCAGTTAATTATAGTACAATCCCCTCTTCTTCTTTCCATCTCTGTCTTCAGAATAGTAACGAAACAACCTTTTTTGGGGGGAATTGTAATGTTTCCCAAGCAACAAAAGTCTCAAGTGGAATTATATATATCCTTAAAGCCAGAACAACAAGTGAACGAACTTGCAGGAGTAGAGTAGGTCTGAGCAGTCCCTGCAGTTCGAATGGGAAATAAGAATGCTTTTCCTAAGGTGCAAAGGCTGCTGGGAGGGCAGCGAGCCAATGTGGCCGTACCAGACAGTGACAGAGGGATGGGGCCGGACACATTTTTCTGGACTGCTGAGTGCACGCTTCCACGGTCCCAGAACCCAGAAATCATCATTTTAATGGGATTCCATGCTTTACCAGCTCTTTTCTGTTCTTGAAATATCTGATAACTTTCCTAAAAGCAGTTTTTAGAGGGCCAGCCATTAAAATCTTAAACAGAAAAGGTTACTTTGTATAGTTACAGTTTATATGTACATGGTATATGCATACAAACATTTGTTACTTTTTCTCCTCTATCCTTTTACCTTGACCAGTGAAGTTATTTGAAGTCATCGAAACTGACAAAACACTCTACCTTATCATGGAGTATGCAAGTGGAGGTAAGATATTGGTGTTGTTTTTCTTTCTTCCCTTTAGAAGAGTACACATCCCTACTGTCCATTCAGGTAGTTGTTAAGGGTTCTTTAATACCCACAATCATAATACAATAAGAGGAGAATCAGAAAAGCTGACTGTTAGCATTTTGTAGGTTGCTGTTGTTTCACTATTAGCATTTTTAATTGACAGTATCTAAATACTTGGATTCTTTCATTGTACTAAAATATCCATAAGATAAAAGTTAGCATTTTAACTAACTTTTATCTTTTGGATAGTTCAGTGTCATTAAGTAATACAAATTGTTTGAGTGTCACCGCCACGTATCCACAAAACTCTCTTCATCTTGAAAAACTATAGCTCTGTCCACAGTAAACACAACCTGCCCCGCCCCCCAGCCCCTGATAACCAACCTTCTGCTCTCTCTTTCTCTCTAAGAATTTAACCACCCTAGGGACCTTATATGAGTGGAATCATACAATGTTTATCCTTTTGACTGCCTGTGTCACTTAGCATAATGTCCTGAAGGTTTATCCATATTGTACCATCGGACAGGATTTCCTTCCTTTTTAAGGCTGTATAATATTCCATTATTATATGTATGGTATGAGTACATATGCATGCCACATTTTGTTTGTTCTAAATGTAACACTACATTAGTCTGTTTGAAATAATTATGTACTGCATGTTGGATTGTTTCTCTGTATCAGATTGTAATGTTAAAGGTATCCATTTTTCCCAAGGCCAGATATAGTGGTTCTACTGCGTATGGTTAGATTTTCCTCAAAGATTAAGGACTAGTAATTATTTGCCTTCAAGTTTATATAAATGTTGACATTTTTTGATATGAATAAACAAGGTCTATCCAGAAAGTATCCAGCAATGTAATATTAAAAACAGAGGCACTTTTCGAAGAAAATACAAGGTTTGAGAAACATTGTATACAGGACAATGATGCCTCAGTTCCCTTCAACAGAGGCACCTTGGGACCTCACACAGTTCACCCAGTGTCACTCCCACTGTTCAGAACACTGTAAAATGCTTAGTTGGAATCACCATCAGCAGCCCCGTCGTATCTTCCTGAATCTCACTGATGGTCTGAAATCTCTTCCCTTTCAAAGGTGATTTTAGTTTTGGGGAAAGGCAGAAGTTGCAGGGCACCAAATCTGGGCTGTAGGAGGGCTGGGTCACCTGGGTGACTTGATGTTTCACCAGAAAACTCTGCACGAGACGTGATGCATGAATGAGCGGGTTGTTGTGATGAAGCTGCCAATCACCGGTCACCCACGGCTGCGGCCATTTTCATCGTATTGCACCTCTCAACTGACGAAGATCACAGGTAGTGCTGCTTATTAATTGTTTGGTCAGGAGGGGCGAGCAGACTCTTGATGGACAACACCTTCCCAACCAGAAAACACAGTTAACATGGTCCTGACCTTGTTGCAACTTTGCTACACCTTCTTTGGGCATGGAGAACCAGGTGACTGACTTCCATTGGGATGGCTGGGCCTTCCCGTCCTGGTCATACGCACCGCAGACCCGTGGTCAACTCCAGTCATGACCTTCTTGAGGAAACCAGTTCATTGGTAGCCGTCTGAATCAAGTCGTTGGGAACTGCAGCCTGATGTTCCTTCTGCTCTGGTAGCAGAAGCCACAGAATGAATTTTGCCACAAAACGTTTCATGCCAGGACCTTGCGTCAGAATCCCGGACACAGTCATTTCTGGAACCCCCAGCTCCACTTCCAGTCCTCACACTGTCGGCCGCCGATCTTTGTCGACTGCAGCCCGTCCACGTTCAACAGTCTTAGGTGATCTGCTTGTCGCAGGCCTTCCAGAGTGTGGATCACTTTCAACAGGTTCTCGATCGTCTCTGAAGCATGTGTCCCGCTTGTATTTGCGCTGCACTCATATCATGATCTCTGAAAGCCTCCAAATCATCCCAGTAGTTTCTACGGAATAGTGTTCAGGCTTAAAGCAAAATTTGACGTGGATTCGTTGCTCTGCTCACTCAGTCGTTTTGAATGCAGTGGCCGCACGGTGCACATGCTCACTCAGTGCCATCTACCACCCCCACTGACTAGTCAGTGAAGTCGTCATTGTTCACACATGAGCATTCTAGTCCACTCTCCGTGGCTGCCAGGTTACATCCAAAAAACTTGTGTAGACTGTTCTCATTATATTAACAATGGCTGGGCTTTTTCCAGACAGACCTTGTATATGGCTGTTGTCTTTTACGAAGATTCTCAATGTAGGGTTGAGGTTGGGGTAGGCTTGTAGTTTTTGAACCATGTGTGAGTTGGTCTGTGGAGCTCAGAAGCTTTGCTGCTTATTTTTTTGTTTCCTACCTCTAGCACAGTGTCTGGCAGATTCTCAACAAACAAGAATTGAACTGGATTTATGGAATGATAAACTCCTAGGAACATACTCTGACTCTATAGCTTAAATTGTTTGGGTTGGAGTTTTATTTTATCGTGAGCACTTTGATCCAGGTTGTAAAACAGAAAGTTGAATCACAGCCTCATTGTAGTGAGTTTACTATTAAATAAAAAATAAGAAGCCTGCTGAGAGCGAGAATAAGTTCTAGTAGGCATGCCTCTGATACCACTTATTCATACTCCTGATTTGTTATTAATTGTATGATTTGTTTTAAATGTGGTTGGAAAATTTGGTTGGGATTTTCCAACTGAATAGTAGTAGGAAGAGCTGGAGGTTAATTGCAGAACAAAAATCTGTATGGAGTCCTATACCTTCTACTCATCTTCCGGAGTGAAGTTCATTACCTTTTCATCTGCGTAGCCTATGCAGTGCACAAACGCCCTCCTTCTCTAACCTGATCTCTCCTTGACCGTCACAGTGACTCCATGATGTGGCCAGGCTCGCACCCTTGACAAGTAGAGTCTGGGACATCTCACTGCAGTCCCTTTGCCAGGTGTGGAGCGCAGCCTTCTGGCACCACATGCCCCTCCTGGTTGTGTTATTTGATCATGGCTTTCTGTGTCCATCTAGTTTAGGCACCAGGTTGTAGGGGTTGCTCTTACATAGGGCAAGACAAAAACATCTGAGAAGCATTCAGCTTTTTTTAAAGACTTTATTTCTTTATTTTAGAGGAAGGGAGGGAGAAAGGAAGCGAGGGAAACATTGATGTGTGAGAGAAACATCAATCAGTTGCCTCTAACACACCCTAGCTCACAGCCCAGGCATTCGCCCTGACTGGAATCGAACCATCGACCATTCCTTTTGCAGGATGACATCCAGTCCACTGAGCCACACCCGTCAGGGTAACATCCAGTTTTAGTAGAAAGAGGATGGGCTTTGGGAAAGAAAGGAGGGGTCAGTCTAGCCAGGGCCTCTCATGGGCAGTGCAGCCTGGTAAGTGCCGTACACATCTCCGAGTTTCTCAGGGACTTGCTAAGAGGGCCCTCCCTCGAGGAGCATTGTTAAAGCGCCCGTGGTGGTCTGTTGGCCTAGGCTGTTTGTTCTGACCACCTCAGCATAGCACTCTAGGTCTCCGGGACATCTCTTTCTGTGATTGTTTGTGTTTGCCATTTTGAATAACTAAAGTTTGTTTAAATTTACTACCTACTTCTCCCAAGCCTGATATGTTTCAGTTTAGTAGAATCATTAGACTTACTAGAATTGGAAGGAATCTCAGAAGTCATCCTAATTTTTGTAGATGAAACTAAATCCTTGAAAGGTGTTCTGTGCCAACAGTTTCATCAGTAGTGGCAGGACTTGAACCTGCACCCAAGGCCTTTCTGCACTGCCCTGTTCAGTGTCCTTCCATTAGCTGTCAGGTCACTGACCTGTTTGCTGTTGTTTCTCCAACAGATAGCCTTGAGAGGTTTTCAGGTTAGCTGCCTAGTCTGAGTGCTAAGTACATTTTTAGTAAAGGGAAAAGATATCTGGGTTGAATTCCTAATTGACAACTTAGTAATTGTGAGTATGACTTTATGGTTCCTAAATCTCTTCAGAGGTTTCTATTGTATTTGCATGTATGAAAGTATTTTAAAATTATGTTGACAAACTTGGACTTTGTCAGTGGGAGAAGAGAGACTATAAAATGACCTCTTACAAGGATCACTCTGGCTGCTGGATGGGGAGAGGGTCAGGGCCCAGAATAAGCTGTGCCCGGGTCCCTACCAAAGCCCACTGGACCCTTCAGGCCTTCGCCCTTCCTACCCATGCCTGTGCCCATCTGCCACCTCCCTTGCTGTGTGCTCTCAGCAGTCGGCAACATGCTTGCACACACAGACACACTGCCTGTTCCTTTCCCCATTGTTTTCTCTATAGCACTTCTCGTCATTTGACATACTGTGTATTCTTTTGTCTGTTTGTTGTTACCTGTCTCTCCCACTAGAATGTAAATGCCAAGAGGAAAGTGACTTGCTTTATTCACAGCTCTGTTTCTCTAGAGCCTGGGACAGTACCTGGCAGTCAGTAGGTACTCAATAAGTACTTGTGGAATGAATGAATATATCCAGGAAATGCTGCTTTGTCATAATCCTACAGTGAAGACATCCTCTTTTAACACAAATAACTTACCCAGTTTAACTCTCAATTTTTATTGCCAAGTTTATATTAAAACATAATCTTTAAAATAAAAGTTGTATAATTTAAACCTGAGAATTTAATTTCAAGGCTTTTCTGTAGCTTCAAGATTTTGTTGATGAACTTTGCCCGCAGTACACTTAAGGCTAACTTAGTATAAATTCCACATACTTCTGTTTATCTTCATACCTATATTTAAAAATAAAAATTAAGGCATTGCTAAAAATGAAACATCAATTTATGGGAAATTAATGCTCAGAAGTAGGACTTTTGCTTACTTTTATTTCTCTCAATTATAGGTGAAGTGTTTGACTATTTGGTTGCACATGGAAGAATGAAGGAAAAAGAAGCAAGAGCTAAATTTAGACAGGTATGGATTTATGTACCTTTAGTTTATTAATTTGATAAAGTTATCTAACTTGAACCCTGAAACAAACAAGTGTTTTCCCACATGAATGGTTACAGGGCCCATAGGGTGGAGCAGGGCTGGGCCGTTCGGTTCAGCACAGACACATGAAGTGCCTCTGGTGCCTGAAGCGCTGCCGTGGAGCTGTCCTTGGGCTCTTTCTGGGCTTGCAGTTGTCATTTCAGTCTCACTGTTACCCTTAGTTTTTGACAGTTGAGTCTTAAAAAAAAACTAGATTCTTTCATAATCATCTTCAAGTTTTTAGCAATGAGAATGCTAGAGTCCCAAAATTCATTATTAGTTTTGTCTTACAGAAGCCAAAACCAAACAGAACTGACTCTGTTAAATAACTACTTAACCTCCTTGTTTTGTCTTTATGCTGGTCTTTAAAGAGACGCAGGTTTTCAGCATAAAGGTGATTTAACTATCTTTATTAATAATAATTATAGTTTATTGATTGGTCATTACCTGCAGACCCTGGAATGGGTGCTTTACCTACATTAATATAATTCTTGCAGCAGCCTTGTGAGTTAAGGAGTATTATGCCTATTTGCTAAAAATAAGGAAACCAAGGCAGAAGCAGATTAAATAATTTACCCCAAATTTGTTGTCTGGCAAGTAAACCTTCCATTGATTCAGTCCCAGATCCTGTGACTCTGAAACTCAAATTTTTAATTGTTACGTTGTGCTATTTTGAGGCTAAGAATCAACAAGCTCTTTCTATGAAGGGCCACACAGTAAATGTTTTAGGCCTTGTGGGCCATACAGTCTCTGTGGCAACAAGTCAGCTCTGAGGGTGGGGGGCATGCAGCTGTAGGCCACCCATGCTCTCACCGATGCTCTCACCGTTGGTCCCCAACAAAGCTTCCTCCACCAAAACAAGTGGTGGACCAGGGTGGACCTGCAGGCCAGGGTGGCTCACCCTTGATTTAGAGGAAGGGAAGGAGCAGGTACTCGATTCCTTTTAAAATTGACTCTGTATTCCCATAATTGTAAGTTTTCTTAATTAAGTGGCAGAATAGCTTCATTTTTCTCAGAACTTTAAATTTTTTGTTTTATTCACTGATAATAAGGTTGTCGAGATAGAGATACAGACAGTAACTGAAGAGGCAGTTTTGGCTGATTTTCTTTTTTTTTTCTTTTTCTTTCTCATTGCCCTCACATGCCTTCAAGAGCCAGCCCTGTACTCGGGACGGCCCTCCTGGACTGAGAGGGAGGTTGCTGTGTGTCCTGCCGGACTCCCCTGTTACCCTGGGCACAGGCGGGCGGAGAAAGCATAGGCCAGGACGCAGTGTTAGCTGATTTTCAAGATTTCTCTTAACATTTGCCTCTCGATTTGCTTAGTCTAGAGTTTATAGTTAAGGACTTGCTTACGAGTTTCTTAACTTTTGCTGTTCCTCAAATTTAATTTTAAAAGTTTAAAAAATACTAATGGTACTTTAATCTATTAAGTATGAAAGTTGAAGCTAAATTTTGGCGCCCATTTAACTTCTCTGATCCTCAGTTCTAGTTATAAAAGAGGAAGTTATGATTGGTGAATTACGCAGTTTTTCTCAGTTCTTTTACTTTATCCTGTGGCCCATGGAAGGAAACTCCAGTTTTTCTTTATTACAAGACAAGTCTGTTTGGTCCTTTCCATAGCTGTACTCTTATTTTTTATAAATTGACCACCTAAAGTCAAGATCTTTTTTCCTCATAAAACTTCTCTTCTCACTCAGATGAAAGTTTCCGACTTGCGGACATTAGCGGACTGTGGTTTTACTGACTGAGGAGGAGGCTGGCAGCGGTGACGGCCCTGGGCCTGGACCCGCCCTGCGGGGCCTTTAGCACTTAGACCTTTAACTCTCTTTTCTGCCGTCTGTTCCCATTCCCCTGGTGGGACCTGGCTTGTCAGAAGGACTTAGACATTTACTAACCGGAATTCTGAGGCTGTCCTTGGGGCACCTTAACTGGTCCAGTGTGGTGAGCAGGGGGCATCCCTGGAACAGGTCACTCACACACACCGCGACCGTGCCAGTTCATGGGGGGAGACCTCCCCGGTGAGCCAGTAGAGTCATGTGCAGGTTACGTGGAGAGAGAGAGAGCTCACGCGACAGAAGCGAGCAGAGCGAGCATCTGGTGTCCTGTCCTGGTCACTGGCGGTGTCCACGGGTGGAGAGCCAGGTGTCGGTCTCAAGCGTGGGGCTGCAGTGGCAGCATGTGTCTGGCAAGGCTGAGAGCCTGACCTGAGGTGCCGCTGAGCTTGAGCAGTGGGTGGTCGAACAGTGAGTGCTAGGCCACCAGGGGCGGGGGTCCTGCTCATACCATTGTCCAGATGGGGGTCCTTATCCAAGTTGTGGTTTTAGACGTCCAGCCCCTCTGAGGCTGTTTCCATTGCACCCCACTACCTCAGTGTTGTCAGGGCTCGTCCTGACCCCACATTGAATTATCAGAAGTGTCCAAACAGTTCACTCTGCTCTTGCTCTGTACATTCAGGAATGGTAGTCTCTGTGCTTTGACAGCTAGTGACTTGGTATACAGCACTTAACAGCGCCTGTCACCCTGTCTCCTTGCCACACTAGTTCCGTAAGATGGCTCATTCAATCCTGGGAGGGTCGGGCGTGATGGTGCTGTTCCTGCGTTTCTCTGTTTCTCATTGCCATGCTCCCCAAATGTTCATAAGTCACCCTTCCTTTGATAGATAAAAAAGCTTTTCTTTTTATGACAAAGCAGAAGGTACACCACATACAAAGTCCACTGTGCATAATTGTTTGCTGTCAAAAATGAGCCCTTCTTCCCACAGTCATTGGCAGATGGGTTTTCCTTTTCCCCCTTCCTCACCACTCTCATTCTAGTTACTGCTTACACGGTTTTTGGCTGAGCTCTTGTTCTTTGAAAGAGAGACACTAGACTCCTGGTCCTGCCTTGTCTCTTCTCCTATCTTGGTGGGTTGGAGGCCCTACTGCTTCTGTCCTGTCTCATGTGACCAGAAGTGAATTGGGCTTGCCTTTCCATTCTGACCTGGGAAACACCTGGGTTCTCAGCCTTCTTTGGAAGTAACTGCTTCTAGCTTGAAAGCAGAATGCCAAAAAAAGGCAATAATTAATTGAATATTTTCACATTATTGTGGCATTATTTTAGTTCTGAGCTCTTTGGAGGTAAAAAGAAAATTCTTTAATCTCCTTGAGGAAAGTGAAGGAAATTGTTAAATCTGATTCAAAAGCAGAATGCGGAAACAACCTACTAGAGAAATACCAGTATGAGGGGGAAATCTGAGAGAAAATTAGATCAGGCGGAAGTGTGATCAAAGTTACCTGTGTTCTAGGCAGCAAGCCTGTGACTTTGGGAAAACAAAGTTGTTTCCGTTCCCAGTGCCCCTGCTGACAACACAGAAACAGCATTTCAGGTGCCAGCTGCTCTGAGCCCCACACGCTGGCCCTGGGGCTGGGGACCTGGTCAGCTGGGGGCGGTCAGGCCTCCTGAATAGTCACTTCGTCCTGAGCTGAAGTCTGCTGAGGGAGACCCTGGCTTGGTGCTCCCCCACCTTGACACAGCCCAGGTTCTCCTTGCTGCTTATTCCAAACCAAAACCGCACCTGACAGAACAGCCCTCTGAGTTTCGATGTCTAGTGTAGGTGAGTACACGTGGCCTCCAGTTCAAATTTGATAATGATCTGAACTGGAGAAACAAGTGGTATTTTCATTATAACCCCAGCTCTGTGTGTGTGTGTGTGTGTGTGTATGCACCGGGAAACATAGGGATGGGTTTGGTCCACCATCAGAGCACAAGCCTGGGTTGCAGGACAAGTCCCCAGTTGGGGGCGCATGAGAGGCAACTAACTGATTGATGTTTCTCTCATACATTGATGTTTCTCTCCCTTTCTTTCTCTCTCCTTTCCTCCTTTCTCTACAAATCAATTAAAAAAATTTTTTTTCAAAAAGAAAAAGACTAGAAGCAAATACACCAAAATAAGAGATGTTTTCTCTGTTTGGTGGTAATGCCAGAATGTATTTATATAAACTTTTCTGTATTCCTTAAAATTTCTATAATGGGCATATAAACTTTTATAATTAGAAAAAGAGACTTTTGAATTACTAGTAAATGTGAAATTTCCTCAAAACAATTGTTTCACAGTGTTAACCATAGGACTAATGAAAAACCAACTGCAAGCATACCATCTGCCAAGAGTGGGAGGGTCCTTACTGAGAGAGCAGCAATCATTTTCATGGTTTGTAGTTCATGTACATAATTTATTCTTCTACTTTTAAGAAAGAAGAAACTGATCCTCTGAGAAGGGAAGTAACTTTAGCTGTCCTTGAACCCATGTCAGCCAAAAGGAAGAGAGTGTTATAGGGAGCAGGTTGCTGGGAAGCATAGTAATTAACGGGAGAACCAACCTGGGTGAACAGCTGGCCATGGCCAGTCTAGAACTGCCAGTTTGGTTTATAGTTGATGACAGGGACCTGGTAAGTTTGCCCCAGAGCCATCTGGTCTCAGACCAGGGGACAGCTGGGTTTACCCAGATCCTCAAAAATACTGCGTATTAAGGGATAGGGCCCCACAAGAGGTGGCCATTCCAGTTAAACTAGAAAGAGCAAGAAGGACACCTGCACCCGCCTCTTTTTACCAACCCCCCCCCCCCGAACTTCTTCAAATTAAGAAGTTCAGAGCCTGAGAAAATGACGTTGGGAGATCCACACAGACACTCAGGTGCTCACTGAGTATTTAGCACATGTGAACAAAAGTGACTCGTTTTCATCTCATTTACGGCTCTGCACCAGTGATGACTGTTAATGTGGCGTCTCTCCTGTCCAGATAGTGTCTGCAGTCCAGTACTGCCACCAGAAGCGGATCGTTCACAGAGACCTCAAGGTGAGCCCGGCACCTTCCCAGGGGACTGTGCATAGCTGTCCACGCTGCCATGACACAGGAGGCATGGGTAGACTGCTTTTACGTGTGTTCAAATAAGTCCTGTAGTAATTGACTCTTAATCCACTTACAGTGAAGAGCATTAGAAATGAAAATGAGTTTGTTAGAAGTATTTTACATCACAGTCAACGTGGCTTGTAGTTGGTTTCTGGAGAAAAACCATCACACCAGCAGACAGATGGGGGCCTCCACGCTCCCACCCGGACAGCCTCCTCCGTGCCCCTGGCCCCCTTTCTGTTTCTCTCCGTCAACAGCAGTGGCATTTTGAGACGTCCTTCACAGTCCACTCTGCCCTCACTCTTGGCCTAGGGTAAGGTTTTCTGTTTCACAGAGAAAATGAAAACAGCAAGCAGAAATTGCCTCAGTTTCCTAGCAGGTCCTCACATAGCTGCATCCGACCCACCCTTCACCTCTCAGAACTGTCATCTTGTCACAGGACAGGGTGCTTCTGTGTCTGGGTCCCATCTCCCCCTAGGTGCTGCTGTGCTCTGTGTGTCTCCTGGCACGCTTTCCTGCTCTCAGTTGCACCCTCACCAGCAGCGTCCACCGAAGCTGCGTGAGTCTGCACCGTCCTTCACCAACACCCTTCCAGACCTGCCCTGGCCTCCTCCCTCTCATGGCCGTCTTTCCCTGAACACTGCCTCCGTGCTCCCCTAACTGGTTCTCACATGATTGTCATTGGCTCTCTGGTTCTTCTCTGCTCCCACCCTCGCTGCACTCAGCATCCGCTCTAGTAACTGCAGTGGCTGCCTGCATGTTCGTCACCCGAGTCCATTGCTGAGTCAGAGCACTCGCCCAGTGTCCAGCTCACAAAAGAACACTTTCACCTAAGCATCCTCGGGTACCTTGGGCTTCACAGGTTCACAGCATGAAGCTCTTCCTGTTTAAACTGAACATTCATTTCTTGTCTCAGGACCTCTTGTCTCCTTTGCTCTCCCATCTACTCAGTCCCCAGTGCTTTTGCTACTGTCCCCTAAAGGTCTCCTGACTGTGCTCTTTTCTGTACCCATGCCCACTGTCCTGGTTCAACCACCAGCGTCTTGGACTTGATGACCATGCTAGCGTCTCACCTGGTCTCCCCGGTTTCCTGTGTTGTCTCTCCCTCCCATGTGTTTCCCACACTACAACCCAAACAAATACAAATAAGATTGTTGTTTTCCTGCACAAATTTTGCAGTGGCTTCCCGTTGCCCTGAGGTTGGCCACTGAAACTTCCTGTTAGTCACTCTGCTGTGCTGGCCCTGAGTGAGTTAACTGTGGCCCTGTCCCCAGCCACCTCTCTCGCCTCTATTTGTCTCCCACATACTATCCTTGTTTTTGTTCACTTGATTTGGAGGCGAGGGAGAAATTTGATTTGTTATTCCACTTACGCTCTCATTGGTTGATTCTTGTATGTGTCCTGACCAGGGAGCCAACCCACACACTTAGTGTATCGGGACAATGCTCTAACCAACTGAGCTACCAGACTAGGGCCCTATCTCTGTTTCTTTCTTTTAAAAAAATTAATTTATTTATTTATTTTAAAAAGATTTTTTTTCTTTTTTTTTTTTTTTTTTAACATCAATGTATGGTTGCCTCTAGTGCTTCCCCTGCAGGGAACTAGCCTGCAACCCAGGTATGTGCCCTGACTGGGAATCAAACCGTGATCCTCTGGTTCGCAGGCCCACGCTCAATCCACTGAGCTACACCAGCCAGGGCTTAAAAAGGTTTTTAAAAAATTTGTTGATGGCGTGTGTGGCTCAGTGGATTGAGCACTGGCCTATGAACCAAGGGATGGCCAGTTTTCATTCCCAGTCAGGGCACATGCCTGGATTGCAGGCCAGGTCCTCAGTAGGGGGTGCACAAGAGGCAACAACACATAGATGTTTCTCTCAGTCTCTTCCTCCCTTCCCCCCTCTAAAAATAAATAAATAAAATCTTTAAAAAATAAAATATTTATTTATTATTAGAGGGGAAGGGAGGGAGAAAGGATGAGAAACATAGATTAGTTGCCTCTCTCATTCACCTCCAACCAGTGTCTGATCTTGAAGCACAGGCATGTGCCCTGACCGAGCATTGAGCTGGTGACCATGCCATTGGTGGGATGACACTCAACCAAGCCAGGCCAGTCAGGGCTGTCTGTTTCTTGAGCAAGACGTTCTCTCTTACCTTCTGGGTTTTCAGACTGTTTGTTCTGCTTGAAATATGTCTCATCTCTCACCAGCGTACCCACTGCTGTCAACTAAATCTCTAGGTAGCAGCTTCAACTCCACCCGCTCTGGGAACCCTGCCCTTCCAGAGCTGGCCCACAGCTCCCCACACCACCTCTGTCGCAGCACTCGTGTCCGGAGTGTAGCCACTTACGTTTCTGCTTCTCCCCTTTGAAACCATGAGCTTCTGGAGGGCAGAGACCCTCGTTTATCATTTTAGATCCAGGCGTTGACATAACGCCTGGTATGTAACTGCCACAGGTGATGTTTGTTGAAATGATTGAACTCACCGATCTGTGTCTTGAGTGAGGTTTAGAAATCTCCCCTCCCTTATAATCGCCCTTACACAGCTATGTGGTGTTTTATGGAAGATAGCCGTCTGTTTAAAGCAAATACTCATTTTTTAAAAGCCTCTTACTATCCTAATTGGAAAAACTATTTTAAAGTGTTTGGGGTTTTTTGTTTTTGTTTTTTTCATGGAGCATTTGTTCACTAAATTAGTGCTAGAATTCATTGGTACCTCATATTTTATTGGTTATTAAGGTTAAAAATTGAGATTCTGATTTATCTTCATCTTTTTCTGGAAATAATGTTTTCTTATTCGTTAAGATGTATTAATATATCATTGCAAAAGACTTTTATGAAGTGTCTAAATCTGTCACAGTGTTAATTCTCTATGTTGGTTAAATTTTATTTTTCTTGATGTTTTCCCTCTAGGCTGAAAATCTGTTGTTAGATGCTGATATGAACATTAAAATAGCTGACTTTGGTTTTAGCAATGAATTTACTGTGGGCAACAAACTGGACACGTTCTGTGGCAGCCCTCCATACGCAGCCCCGGAACTCTTCCAGGGCAAGAAGTACGATGGGCCGGAGGTGGACGTGTGGAGCCTCGGCGTCATTCTGTACACGCTGGTCAGCGGGTCGCTGCCCTTCGACGGGCAGAACCTGAAGGTATGAGAAGCGGTCACATCCAGGTCCTTCAGAAAGCTGCCAGAATTTTATAAAACCGCGAGTGTGAATAGTTTCATGTTATGTCCTGAAGGGGCCGTGGGGCTCTTCTGTAATCTCGAAGTTGACTCACTAGCTCTCTCTTCCCCCCGCCTCTCCAAAGGAGCTGAGAGAGAGGGTGCTGCGAGGGAAGTACAGAATCCCTTTCTACATGTCCACAGACTGCGAGAACCTCCTCAAACGCTTCCTGGTGCTGAACCCAGTGAAGCGAGGCACTCTGGAGGTAATTGCATGAGTGAAAATAAGGAACTACTTTGGAGGCTCTGTAAAGTATTTTTAGAACTTGGAGTGGTTTATGTAGCATATTGAAAACTATCCCAGGGCTTTTACAGTGGGAATTGAGACATTAAAAACATTTTTTTTAAGTTACCCTTTGAGCTGTAATTAATGAAATGTTGAAAGTAAATTTCCCTAAATACCGTGATTATCAGACTATTTTCTGCTACTAATGAATAGTTCACCTTTCAGCAAATCATGAAGGACCGGTGGATCAATGCAGGCCATGAGGAGGATGAACTTAAACCATTTGTTGAACCAGAACTAGACATCTCAGACCAGAAAAGAATAGGTAACCACTCTGGGTGCACATGCACATTTCTGTTTTGACTCGAACGCCTACAAATGAAGTCTTGGAAAGTTGAGCCTAAGTTATGTGAGTCCGCTTAGCTGTTTTGTCACGTTTAGGAACTTATGTGTAGTCCCTTGTGATGTAGCACTCAGTAACTCACAAATAAGCCAACTGCCTATTTGTGTTTGAAAAATGTGTGATCTAAGCCCTGGCTAGTGTGGCTCAGTGGATTCACTGCCAGCCTGCAAACTGAAAAATGTGTGATCTTTTGGGTCAAATAAAGGAATTTTTTAAGTTCTGTAATACAGTGGTTTCTTACCCAACAAAACACGTGAACTTATATTATGCCCTTCTTTTAGATATTATGGTGGGAATGGGATATTCCCAAGAAGAAATTCAAGAATCTCTTAGTAAAATGAAATATGATGAAATCACAGCTACATATTTGTTGTTGGGAAGAAAATCTTCAGAGGTAAGAGTAATCAGAGGAAAAAAACGGAAATATTCTTTATGTAAATTACCAGTTTACATAAACTGTTGGCTTAGGTTTTATTTTTTTAAGCGTGTGTAACACTTGCTATATTATTTTTTAGTGTATCCACAAATAAATCTTGACTCTTATTACCCGTATGTTAGGATAGTAACCTTAATGGTGATACTGTCACAGACTTGGTTTTCCTAAGTTAACCTATAGCTATGCATAGTTTAGAAATGAGGTAAAGCCCTGGCTGGTGTAGCTCAGTGGATTGAGCCCAGGCCTGCGGCGAACTGTGGGATCATGGTTCGATTCCCAGTCAGGGCACATGCCTGGGTTGCAGGCCTGCAGGCCAGTTCCCAGCGGGGGACACACGGGAAGCAACCACACACTGATGTTTCTCTCCCTCTCTCCTTCCCTTCCCCTCTAAAGATAAATGAATAAAATCTTTTAAAAAAGAGAGAGAAATGAGGTAAAGTATCAGATGCAGTGATTGGAGTGTTTAGGTTGATTCAAGAAGCCGAGAAGACCCTCCTGTCCTCTCTGGTGTCCATCCACCCCACCCCCCGCCGCCCCCAGCAGTCACAGCAGCACTGCTGCCTGGGCCCACGGGGGTCGCCATCTTTGTACGTGGTGCTGTGGCTTCTTTGGAAGGGAACTGTCGGGAGTTTGGTTGGTGTGTTCTGAGAGATTCAGTTTCCTGTTAAACCACTTGGTTCAGTGTGTGGTTCCCTCCGTCTTTCTTGTTTGCTCTCAGCTGGACGCCAGCGACTCCAGCTCCAGCAGCAACCTGTCACTCGCGAAGGTGAGGCCGAGCAGTGACCTCAACAACAGCACCGGCCAGTCCCCGCACCACAAGGTGCAGCGAAGTATCTCTTCAAGCCAGAAGCAGCGGCGGTACAGTGACCACGGTAAGTCCGGACTGTTCCCCAGTGCTCTCTGGGCGGCTCCTTCCTCCTCACATGGCGCAGGGCCTCCCAGGGCCAGACTGGGCTCGACTTCCGTGTCCTCTGGCTGCTGGCGAGGCCGTCTCAGGGCCTCGGCTCCTCAGCGCCTTCGTGGCCTTTGAAGGCGAGGCCTGGCTGGGTGGGCCCTACCCCACTCGTGCTCCATGACCCCCGCTTCAGCCTCTCCTTCTCAGCTCGTTCTCCCCCCGTCTCGGATGTCTGGTAGAACTTCTGCTGGGCTGGAACTGAACCACGTCTTTGCTGTCCAGGACATCAGCCACTAGCCACACGTGGCTGATGAGCACTTGAACCGAGGAAACGATTTTCAGTTCATTGGATTTACACAGCTGTGTCTGGACAGTGGCTGCCGCATTGGATGGCGCAACACTGAACAACGCAGAGCACCCTGGTTTTCCCTTCCTTGATTTACGGCTTGACCCGTGTCACTCTCAGCCCCACTCTCGTTGTTGGTGTGTCTAATGTAAGTCCAGCGTTGTAGGGCTCAGGGACCAACCCTATGCTGGCCTGGTCCTAACTTAAAAAACACATCCTCACGCAGAACATCCATCTCTCTCTTGGTCATTCCACTTTCCTTCTCTGGACATAGTCCACCTCCATTTTTTCACCTTGAGAGCTGGCACTTAGAACTGCACAGAGCAGTCCAGGTGTGGACAGCTTTAGTTTTGTACCAGAAGTGATGACACTTAGCTCAGTTCCCAGTTGTCCTCCTGCTGATGCCATCTGTCTATGTGGTTTGGGCTGAAGCAGCACATTGTACAGATTCTGTCAGTGAACTGCCTGTGCGGACGCTGTCCGGGGGAGAACTGAGACCTTGGACCCTGGCCTGGCTCCGGGCCCTGTGCTTGTGGCAGTTGTAGACCAAGTGTTCATCTGGGCCTCTCTCTCTTCTCTGTTCATATCAGTTGCTAATAGGAAGGGTTTTCAAGGCCTCTGCACTGCAGGGCAATTAGAAAAATACCTACATATTGCTCCAAGCCATCCAATTAAAAGGGACTTGTTCCTACCCTGGCTGGCGTGGCGTGGTTGGTTTGCATGTTGTCCTGTATACCAAAGATTGTAGGTTCCACTCCCAGTCAGGGTACACGCCTAGATGTGGGTTCAGTTCCCTGTGGGACTCGTGCCCCGCATGCGCGACGCGGCCGGTGGGTGTTTGTCTCTCCCTCCCTGCCTCTTGCTCTAAAATGAATAAATGTTTCCTCAGGCAAAGGGTAAATAAGTAAAAGGAATTGTTCCTAAGTCCTGGGGGAGCGCCGTTAATGGAGTTCTCTCATATATCCAGTGTCTCTTTTAATAAATTCATTCTTCCTTAAGCATGTGGATTCCATCTACTTTAGGAATACCTCTTTTCCCCAGCTCAGAAAATCTTAGAATTAAAAAGAACTTTAGACATGGTGTCATATGCTCACCAAATTGCCTTTTTATCGACAGGGAAACAGGCCAAGAAAGCTTACCGAGTCCCTTAGGAGGGTCACTTAGATGTAGGAACACCTAGGATAGACCCAGGACTTCCAGTCGTGCTCCTGTGACTGTCCACTAATGTGTGTTTCCTCTTGGAGTAGTCTTTTCATAATCATCAGTTTTCTTCCTTCTTGGGTCCTGTAATAGTCAAAAGAAATTCAGAAAATAACATTTCTAGAAATCCATCTACACATAGTCGTTGGCACAATTCCAAATTCTTTTTTTAATTTTTATGGGGGAGAAGGTAGTGTTCAGCAAAGGGAAGATTTAATTATGTTGCACTGTTCGTTCAGTGCTAAAGGAACAGTGTTCCTTTAGGTCCTGAAAGCCAGTGTGGTGACGACACATGCGCACTGAGACCCAGTGCAGACCGACGGGCCTGTTGCCGGGCTCCCATCGCCTCTCATCTGCCCGCTTCTGCACAGCCCCAACTTCATTGGTGTCTGTGGCTCTTAACTTGGGACCCACGTGTGAAGCACCTGTGCGTGTGCAAATATTTTTCTGGGAAGGGTGATAGTCATCAGATTTTCAAAGGGTTCTTTGTTTTGTTTAAAGAAAAAGATAAAGGCCCTGGCTGGTGTAGCTCAGTGGATTGAGTGCGGGCCTGCAAACCAAAGGATCACGGTTCGATTCCCAGTTAAGAACACATGCCTGGGTTGTGGGCCAGTTCCCAGCAGGGGACGCACAAGAGGCACATTGATACTTCTCTCCCCCTCTCCTCCCCATCCCCTCTAAAGATAAATAAATAAAATCTTTTTTAAAAAATGATAATAATAAAAGATAAAGAATCATCGTTTTTTCAGCAGTAAATGGTGTTGGGATACTGGGCAGTTTGGTAGTTACCGAGAAAAATAAATTTGCATTCATTTCTCACATCTTGTACAAGGGTAGATTCCAACGGGAAGGAAGATACGAATATGAAAATACAAGACTGCAGGTATAATGAAAGAAAATGGGAGATAATTTATTTTTTTACCTTAGACTAGAAAAGGCCTTTCTAACTATGGCTGCAAACACTAAAACCCATGAAAGAAAACATGACAAACTTGACTTCATAAAAAGTCAGACTTCGGTGTGATGCATTCATTCTGTGGAACACCGCTCCACATTAAAGGGGCCGGACTGTGGACACAACACGCGGGAGTCTCAGCGGTGTTGTGCTGGGTGGTGAAAAAAATCTTGAAGGGTTACATAGAGTTGATTCCATTCACGTAAGTTCTTGAAATAACTGAATTAGCGATGGAGACCAGGTTAGTGGTACAGGGTTTAGGGTAGGAGTGGGGTGGACGGTAGGTGGCTGGGAAAACAGACCACAAGACTCTTGAGGTGGCAGTGTTCTGTCTTGACTGCCACTGGTCACATGGCTCAGCACATGGGATTGAAGTGTGTAGAAGTACACAGATGTGATGCAAGGAGAGTGGGCGTCCTGATGAACGAGGTCAGTGTCTTATCAATGTCTGTTTCCATATGCAGTCTTAAAGCTTAAAAGATTCTATGTTTTCTAAATAGAAATATGGTAACAAAAGTTTCAGAGCAGATCAGTAGTAACACTAAAAGTTCAGTGTCAATTAGACAGCTCTGGTGGTGATGTGGAGAAAGATAACCATTAGCATAACACTCTCGTGTTCTCAGCTTGTGCCGGGTGAGGCAGTTCGTTCTCAGTGCTGTGTGTCTCACGTTACTGTGGTTAGTTACCTGTGCAGTAACTGGCCCTGAAGAGGCTACTGCAGACCCTGTTAGTAAACATTGTTAAACATTTACATGAAAGCTGGGGTCTAGTAAGTGAAATTCCAAAATTGATTTTATTACACAGGGTGAACATTATGCATAAATGGGAAACATCTTAGAGGATTTCACTGTCCTTTTTTTTTTTTTTTTTTTTGATAGCAATCTCGGGTCATTTTATAAAATATGTTTTCACAGAATGAAATATGAAAGTATATTCTGATTTTTAAAGAGTGATCTCTTTATTTTAGCTGGGCCAGCTATCCCTGCAGTCGTGGCGTATCCAAAAAGGAGTCAGACCAGCACGGCAGACAGTGACCTCAAAGAAGACAGTGCTCCCTCCCGGAGGTCGGGCAGCAGTGCGGCTGGAGGGAAGGGGATTGCGCCTGCCAGCCCCATGCTTGGGAATGCGAGCAATCCCAACAAGGCAGACATTCCTGAGCGCAAGACCAGCTCTGCTATCCCCAGCGTAAGTCCCGTTGACTTCTAGAGCCACCTGTGGGTTGTAGGACAAGAGGCTACCATGTGCTCTCCTGCCCATTTGATGACATCAGACCCCACTGTCCAAGGCAGTGTCTGGATATCCCCCAAACACTTGCTGAGCTTTAGGCTGTGTCAGAGGCTGCAAGGTGGAAAGACCTCACAACCTGACAAACCAGTTGATGGCAGCACGGACAGGTGGCCACACACTCAGGGCACTAGGGCTCTGACTGCCTGTGGGCCTGGGATGGGGATTCGTGCTGCACGTTCAGAGTGCTCAACAGTGAAGAGTTTCAACTGCCTCTTTACTGTGTGCCAGGGACCACGCTAGGTTCTTTTTCATGCATTAACTAAATTTTAAGGTGAAGAAGATGAAGAAAGGTGACTGCCTAAAATTACACTGCGGACCTGAATCTACCTCTTAATCCCTGCCCTTAACGAAATCTCCTGGTTTATAAATTGTATTTGTTAAAATGAATAGAATTTGTTCAGCTTCAGACACTTTTCCATTTGTTGAAATGTGGCCTATTCGGTCGAATGTAGTAATGCACTCTAGCACTCCTAACGTGATTTTCAGAAAGAAGTCGCAGAGCGTGAGCAGTCTTAAGGATCACACTCTCCCCTACAACCTGAACAGGGGCTCAGCCCTCCTGTGCCCCAGACAAACCCTGCAGCGAAGGCCAGGTGGGGCTCTGCTGCTCCCTTAGGGAGTCTTGTCTGTGCCCTCTAGGGTGGGGGCACATAACAGAGCCGGAGGGTTTTTGTCCGCTCAGCCTCTGACCTTGGGCTTTGTCTTGGCAGACCCTGTATGTTAAGACTTTTTTTTTTTTTTTTGGCTTCCTAATGCCGTAAAATTGGAATGTCATTCTTTAGCCCTGCAAGTTAAATTCAGCTTCCAGCTTTTGGTGACAGTTACCAGAGGATGGTAGAAACCCCGTTCTGTGCCTTCGGAGCTCTGTCCCTTGCTCGTCTGCACACCGCCCTTTTGAAAACACATCCACTCATTATCAGTCGCCTGTATGTGATTGTCCATAAAGGGAAAAGGTAATGTTACTGTAATTTCTCCCATAGTTTTGGGAGTTCCGTACGTGGTCTGCTCGCATTGTGTTAAAGGTGGCTGCTTTTATCTTTGTGTAAAAATTGTTCTTATCTGGTAGAATTCCTTAGTTACAACTTTCATTCCTTGCTTCTTAGGTCTGAAAGTATTAGTTCTTAAAAAATTGATGCGAAATTTACGTAACATGTACGTAACCGTTTTGAAGCATGCTGTTCAGTGGCATCTAGTATGTTCACAGTGTAGGACAACCACCCAGTCTCTCTGGTGCAGATTTCTACATGGACTTGGTTTTCATTTCTCTTGAGTTTATACCTAGGGATGAAATTGCAGGCTCATCAAGTTAATTCTTCTCTATCTACCTCTTTTGAGGCACTGCCTAGTAGTCTCCCACAGAGGTCCCACCATTGTGCATTCCTGTCATAGTGAGAGTCCCTCTTGCCCACATCCTTGCCAGTGGTCATCTTCGGGTTTTTAGGGCCCCCCTAATGGTGGGAAGTGGTACCTCACTGTGGTTTTGACTTGCATTTCCTTAGTGACCAGTGCTCTTCAGCACCTTTCCATCTGCTTCTTAGCCACTTACATGCCTTCTTGGGAGAACTATCTATTCAAGTCCTTTGCCCATTTCTAAATTGGGTTGTTTGTCATTTTGTGGTTGAGTTTTAAGATTTCTTGTCTAGTCTGGATATTTAGCCTTTATCACATACATGATTTGCAAAATTTTCTCTGGTGCTTCAGGTTCTTTTCACATTCCTTTTTCTTTTCTTACACAAAAGACCACATATTTATTATGTGATTCCATTTATAATATATGAAATGTCTAGAATGGGCAAATCTATAGGGACAAAATATACATTAGTGGTTACCCAGGGCTTGAAGGAATGGAGGATTAGGGTGGTGGAGCTAAAGGTTACAGTATTTCTTCTTGAGGTCATGAAAATATTCTAATAGCAATTGTGGGAATGGTGCCACAACTGTGTATCTAATGAAAACCATTGAATTAACACTTTATTTTTTTAATTTATTTTTAATGTTTTATTGATTATGCCATTACAGTTGTCCCATTTCCCCCACTTCATTCCCCTCCACCCTACACAACCACGCCCCCCGATCCCCCCTTCAGTTAATGTCCATGTGTCACAAGTTCTTTAGATTCTATATTTCCCCTACTATTCTTGCCCTCCCCCCTATTTTCTACCTACCATCTATGCTACTTAGTCTCTGTATCTTTTTCCCCCTTCTCCTCCTCCCACTCCCCTGTTGCTAATGCTCCATGTGATGTTCATTTCTATGATTGATTTGAGTCCCAGTTTCCTTTCCATTACTATTGGTTTCCTGTGTATTTTCATTCATTTCAATTCGTTTCGCCTTCATATATTTGTCTAATTTGTGACTAAAATCAACCAGTTCTGTGAGCATCCTGATCACCAGTGTTTTGAACTGTGCATCTGAAAGTTTGGCTATTTCTTCATCACTTAGATTTATCGGCTCTGAGGCTCTGAGTTGTTCTTGAGCCATGTTTTGATCTGTTCATGCCCATTATGTATGAGGAGCAGAGCCTTAGTTGTTCACCAGGGCGGGGCCACCCAGATCGCCGGTTTGTGACACTGTATGTGGGGACAGGGTCAGAGAGGGACAATGGCAGTTCCCTTTCTGGGGGAACTGCTTGCTGCATGGCGGGGGGGCGGTGCTGTGTGGTCCGTCTCACTGCTAGCTTCTTCACCAGTTTATCTGCATGCAAATGTGTGACCGAGATCACCCCTCAGTGGGACCACCACCTTGCGCCCTCAGTGGGTTCGCCCGCTGCTACTCCACACCTGGGATCGGCCCGTGGCTGCCTGCGCAGTTGGGTTGTGCACCTGGGTCGGTCTGGTGGATCTTTCCTGCCCAACCCTGCTCCACTGCTGGCCTTGCCCCCCTCTTAGTGGTCTGGCTGAAAGGTTTGTTATTGTCAGACTTCCGTATAGTTCAATTTTCTATGGTTTGGCTGTGTTTTTGTTGCTAAAACTTTGTTGTATTTAAAGTTGGTTGTGTGAGGAAGCAGTGTTTCCACCTATGCCTCCATCTTCTGATGCGCAGGTTTCTGATTTCGATAAAGACCTTACCAGTTCGTTGTTGTTACTCCTGCTTTTTGCGAGCCGTGTCTGTGACTCTCCTGCTAAGTGCAGGACTGTGCGGATCCGTTCACCCCTGTGTTTTTCCTAATAGTTTCATAGTTTTAACTGGACATCTGTGTGTATCGTATTTCATTTGTACATTCATAATACTTTTTAATTTTGTATTTCAAAAGTATAAGTTTTTAAATAGTGGATCTCTCCATGTCCCTGCTTTAGGTAACCCTCGAGTTACTTCCGTGTGGATCACTGTGGTCAGCCTTTCCCAGCCACTGGGCCGCCCTGCTGTCCTCTGCCTGGAGGAGGGGGCGCTGCTGCCTCTGCCTCTCTGGCCAGTGCTGTGGATGTGTTAGTGCAGGCTTCCTTAGGGACTGAGTGCTCGTGTTTACGTAGGCGAGTTATTTTTTTCTCATTGTAGTACTCTTACTAAATAGTATAAGACTAAAATGCTCTTTTTTTTTTAATAGAGTAACACAGCATCTGGTGGGATGACACGGCGAAATACCTACGTTTGCAGTGAAAGAACTACAGCTGACAGGCACTCAGTCGTTCAGAATGGCAAAGAAAACAGGTAGGAGCCTTGCCCTGTTGGCAAGAACTCTGTTTTTCCCAAGAGAAATGGAAGCATGTTGTTTACTTCTCAGTTTTTATAATTAAAATTCAAATAATAATGGTAAGTAGTCTGTTAACGGTAAGTTCATTTTGAGTATGAATTTTTAGTAAAATACTAGAATTGCAAATTCTTCTCATTGTCCAGAGTTTATCCTCTGGCCAGCCAGCTGTGTGTGATGATTAAAGGGGTTGAGTTAACCAGTGAGCTTCCCCAGAGGAGGTAGATGGTCAGCTATAGTTAATCGTAAAATAGTGAAGTCAGAACTGTGTTGTGCACATTAGTTGCTTGATCAAGGCTGAAAGGTAGGAAGAGAAGGACCTGGAGCAGGCAGAGCACAAGAAGGGTGGTTGAGCCCACAGCTCCATGTCGCAATGTGCCCAAGGGGCCAGGGGGACAAATATTAGCATGCTCTCCGCCTGAGAAGAGACCCCTGGAGAATCACAGAACTGGAGCGTGCCGTCTTCCGAACTACTGTAATCTGGTGGAGAGGCCAGTGCACGTGGGCCACTGCAACCTAAAATACCCAGTAACGTGTCAGTGAGGGGAGCATTGTCGCACAGCTTCCCGGGTTACAAAATAGGGCCGAGCCAGGACAGTGGGAGGAGAGGGTCTGGAGACCGGGGCGCAGGGTTGGTTTGGGGGGGCGAGGAGGATGAGTTTGTAGAGCAGTTAAACGTCGTCTCTGCACAACACAGTTCTCAGGCCGTGTGGGTTTTCTTCTTTCTTGTTGGAACAGTGACACATAGACTAAATTCAGTGAGGCAGGCGGGGAAGTTTGTGGGGCAGAAATGGAGAAAATCAGTTTGCACTGTCTGCACTGCCTGCATTGTCCCCGACCCCTTAACTCGGACGTTGCTGGTCGTGTCACGTTCCCACGTCTGGCATCGAAATGGGTTCTTTCTTTTTTCCCTGAAATACACTTTTCAAAATTGCACTGTAAGTTTTCTCTCTGTTGGATGTCACGTGTCACATAAAATGTGTGATCGCTGGTTGCCGTGGGCATCCGAGCAGAGGCCCCTCTTCCCCCGTCCCGTCATCCTTCAGCCCACACTGCTGCGTTTCGCCTTCTCTCCCACAGACCCAGCTCTGCGTCGGTGTGGGGGCAAACGCCTGTTGTGTAAGGCCGTGCACGTGTTCGCTCAGTTTCCAGGGATATTGACATTCCAGTGTTCTCTTATGTTTTCTTAATTTTTAAAAAATGTTTTAATTTTGGAGAGAGGGGGAAGTGGGGAGAAAGAGAGAGAGAAACATCAATGTGCGGGTTGCCTCTTGTGCTCCCCCAACTGGGGACCTGGCCCACAACCCACGCATGTGCCCTGACTGGGAATTGAACCGGTGACCCTTTGCTTCACAGGCCAGCACTCAAACCACTGAGCCACACCTGTCAGGGCTGTATTCTCTTCTGATTCATGTGTGTGTGTGTGTGTGTGTGTGTGTGTGTGCTTGTTAGAACATTGTCTTTTTCCTCATGATTAAACTCTATTAATAACATATAGCAACTAGGCTAGATAGCTTGTAAGTCCTGATTCATATATTTATTTCTTAATAATAGTCTGTTCTGGTAGATTTTATCACAGTTACATTCTCAAATCTATTAAATTTCTTCTAGTTCAGATTGATTTAATAGATGATGTCAGTGAAAGACTTAATTAGAAGTTTCTAAAATGTTACAGATTTTCGTCTGTGGGACTAGGAAAATGTTTTAGGCCCTTCCTCTTTTTATAATTCTTCTAAATTGTTGAACAGTGTATCAGACTTCTTTTGAAACCGAGAGTACACAACTCTCTGAGGTTTAGTCAGACTCTCTAAGAGGCCGTCAGGACCAGGACCCGCCCCCATTTGTATTTGTGCATGTGCCCTAAACTCCCCTTTCCTACAGCGATGCACTCCACTCTGGAACTGGTTCTAGTAATTCTTGAATGTCACTGGAGTCATCGCCTGTCTTTTCTGCCTGCAGATCCTGTCCTCGCGGGGGCTGACTCTTCCTCATCCTGATGGGGCCTCCTTGCTCCTGAAAGTGCTGTCTGTAACCAGACAGAGCCTCAGCACCACACCACACAAGATGGGGCCCATAGTGTTCATAGCATCTGGACTGTCCTTTTCTCTCTCACGAATGAATTGAAAGTGGGTTTCCAGTAATGTGGAAAATTATTGGAGGTTTGAGTGCCAAACTCTAGTGGTCCTATTTTTTACTTTTAGGTAAGGCAGTAAGTAAATGTGACAACTTTCTCACCCTTAGAATAGATGCATGAGTCAGAAATTAGACGCACCAAACCTTCTCGGCACACAAATGACTTTTTGGCAGATTTTCACTTGTTCTTCTCCCACATGGACATCTCACTCCTTGACTGAAATACTGGTGAGCTCCAGAATGCCTGGGTCTCTGCTAACACCTGAAAGGACGATGATCCCCAATTTTAGCCTTGAATATATAGGGCTTTTTTCTTATGTGTGAGTATGTGTACAGAATTCCGACATGGGAACGATGGTAGCTGATAAAAACTGTATGGAAATTTAAACCAAAGGGAATCGCATATCTGAGACAAGCTCTTTCTTCTTCAGCTGTCTTCAACATTCTGCTTTGAACATGGAATGATGTTTTAAATCCTCACCAAATGTATTTCCCTTGCCAACGCAATATGATTTAATATAGCTTATTTTCATTTTTAAATTAATTTTATTTATTGATTCTTACTAGTGCAACCTTTCTGTTTTATCAGCTTTACTGTTTGAAAAATAAAGCGAGATCATTGGTGTCTAGTGGGGAGACAGTATGTAGTGCATTGTTGCTTTAGCACAAGTCACGTGAGAAATGTTGAAGACTGTCATTTTGAAACCAGGCATGCTGAAGTCAGCCTGCTCTCGCTGTACCCATGGTGTGATGATTGACCTTCAGCTGTTGGTCTGTCAGTGGTGGCACGTTCCAGCACTGAGTCAGTGTAGCCCTGGCTGCTGTGGCTCAGTGGGTTTAGCATCAGCCTGCAAATCAAAAGGTTGCCGGTTCAATTCCTGGCCAAGGCACATGCTTGGGTTGCAGCCAGGCCCCCAGTTGCGGGCAGCCAATCAGTGTTTCTTTTCTTCTCTTTCTCCCTTCCCTCTGAAAATAAATAAGTAAAATATTTTTTAAAGATTTTATTTATTTTCAGAGAGAGGGGAACGGAAGGAAAAAGAGAGGGAGAGAAACATCAGTGTGTGGTTGCCCCTCACACGCCCCCTCCTGGGGACCTGGCCCACAACCCAGGCATGTGCCCTGACTGGGAATTGAACCAGTGACCCTCTGGTTCACAGGCCACTGCTCAATCCACTGAGCCCCAGCAGCCAGGGCAAATAAATAAAATCTTAAAAATTAAAAAAGAGTCCGTGTAAACCAGGCGTGAGGAGGTGGAGTCAGGTCTTCTCTGCATCATCGTTCTGTCAGGGTCCCGTGGGTTCACAGGGGTCTCCCACCACGCAGCACCGACCGACACTGTGCTCAGCAAGTGTCTCACGGTTGGCAATGAACTGTCCACGTGTAAATGAAAAGGGTTTTCTTAGTTTACACTGACTATGCACAGTCTCTCAGTTCAGTGGTATCGATGACCACACGCGCGTGTGCACACACAGCAAACACACACAGCAGGACACGCTGTCCTGCCCTCGTGTGCTGGGACAGCCCCAGGGGGCTGTTTCAAGTGTCTTTGTTGGAGGGCCCCCAAAGAACTAGTGTGGTGTCACTCATTGTAACAGAGCACGACAGACCCTTGCCACAGAAGTTGTAGTATTTGATATCATACATCAATTTTATAATTATCCAGCTGCTCTGGTGTTTTGTGCATTTATGCACTTGTCCTGCATCATGTCACAGGGACGGGCTGAGCAGAGAATGCTTGATCACAGTTACCATGTGTATCTTTTGGGTTATATATTTTAATTCTTCTTTTGCTCAGTCACTCCTATGCTTTGAGTCAGCAACCAAAACATTTCATATCAGAATGGGATAGATGTCATGTCAAGCAAATTGAAAATACTTATCCACTAGTAACCTTCAGTGGGTTAGAGTTTAAAATTAAAAATAAAATCAGACATAAAATACAGAGCACCTAGGAGGAGTGACAGGAACTTCATGCAATTTGAATTTTAAGAAACACATTGTTATTTCTATTAAAGTTTAAAAAATGGTCCTTCATAGACCCAGAACTACTAGCAATGTCATGTGGTCATGTCTTGCTTCTGTAGGTTTTTTGGGCTAGCCTACAAAATAGAACCATTATTTTTAATATTCTTTCTGAGGGAAGGTTTTTTTGTTTGTTTTAAGGTTTTTAAATTATTTATTTTTAGAGAGGGAAAGGGGGGGAGAGAGGGAGAGGAACAGCAGTGTGCTTACAGCACTGACTGGTGCCCCCCGCGCACCCCAGCCGGCCGTGACCCAGGTGCGGGGAAGGTGCCGTCCGGCGTTCACAACAACCAGCCCAGTGGATCTGTGCACTGTGCGGCTCCTTGTGGTGTTGGGGTTGTCAGTTGTGAATAGAATTGTCGTGAGTTCAATTGTATAAACTTAAAATTTAGCAAGCATTTACTGGGTGTACTGTTGTCTAAGTCAAAGTGTTAGGCCTACTGTAGAAATCAGAAAAACACATCCATTTATTATTACTTGTTTTTTTGCTTGCTTTGTGGTACAACGTGGATTAAATTTCTAAAGAAATAATTTGCTTGCCCTGGCTGCTGTAGCTCAGTGGATTGAGCATGGGCTGGGAACCAAAGGGTCACTAGTTCGATTCCCAGTTGAACACATTCCCAGGACACATGCCTGGTTTGCAGGCCAAGTCCCCAGTGGGGGCCATGTGGGAGGCAACCGCACACTGATGTTTTTCTTCCTCTCTGTCTCCCTTCCTTCACCTTTCTCTAAAATAAATAAAATCTTTTTTAGAAAGAAAGAAATCATTCACTTAATTGCCTTCAAGATTAGTATGTCAAAAACAGTAATTTATCATGAAAATACAATTTACACTTCTTTTTTGGGGAAGGTCTCTAACAAGGGTCCTTTTCGCTGCCAAGTGTAGACCTTGCCTGCACTGTTCATTCCCTGGCCCCGTGCCTCGGAAATAGCTGGAGCACGGGCTTGCTCGGTACCTGACCAAAAGCCTGTTTCTTCCCCAGAGGCTTTGGACCACGTATATTCTCCAGGGAAAAAGCCAAATAACTCCTACCTCCCCTTCTTGCCCTGACTACTTTAATGTGTCCATTGATCCCAGCTCTCAGTTTAGCCAAGTGTCAGCAGCTGGCAGGGGGGTAAAATGTGTTGACTCCACAGATGGCAGAGCCCAAAGAGATGAATTTATCTGTGACTTGTTAAAAATAAAATTAAGTCATATGTACATATGTTGATGTATGTCTGTATGTGTATATTGGGAACAAGCAAACATTCCTTCAAACTGTTGAGTCGGTTGGGTGGCAAGTAACAGAGCCTTGTACAAAAAAGCTAAAATGAAACAAGGCATCTGCGAGTTCCTAAAACTGGAAAGCCTAAGAGTAGAGCCAGGTGCAACTCCTTATTCTGTTCTGCTTCCTCTGTCGTGGGCCCTGCTTGGCACCGCAGCAGCAGATTTGCCATCTTCCCACACTCAGCTGTGCTCAGACAGGAGCATGGGGTGTCTCCTTCGTCCCTGTTGATCTGGCTCTGTGCCTGTCACTGGCCAGAGGGGCTGGGAATGTCTGGAGTGGAGCCAGCAACATCCAGGGGCCAGAAGCCTTCCCCCTCAAAGCAGGATTCAGGTGGTATTGCCACAAGGAAAGAGTGGGTGCTAAGTGGCAAAAACCCAAAACTGGATCTGTTTTATTTTTCCAAGGCATTTTTTTTTAGTAGTTCTATGACACTGGTAGAGCCACTCTCCCAAGTTCAAGGGCAGAATTCTCAAACAGAAGTTCAGGGAATAGCAGGCCTTCCTGAGCATTTGTTACAAAGGCCCGTCTCCCTCATACTGGGGCTGTCAGAACTCCAGTGGCTCATTGCAGTGACGTGCCTTCTCAGGTAGGAGAGTGCTTCCAGGGCACCTGCTCCGGCTGGGGCCCTCTGCTCACAAACGGGCGCCTTGGTGGGAGGGAGTGCAGGTCTGGCTTTCAGGGCGCCAAGCAGGGATGGGGGGATCCTGCAACACTGGTGGGGAGCAACGGGTGTGTGTACCACGTGCACTGAACAGAGTGAAAGTAGACATCAGCCTCCTGGGCCCAGATCTCCTATGCCCGTGTTTCGAGGTGATGCGTGACCAGGGGGTTACATAGTGTCAGGAGGACCAGGGAGAGTCCCAGGAAGTGACTTAGAAGGCAGAGCCTGGAGATGTGGCAGGATCCAGGCTGTGAGTACCTGAGGATGCGACCTGGGTGCCAGGGCGAGGAGTTGGAGCCTCATCCTAAAGACTGTGCTTTTTGAAAGGTTATGAGGGATGAGGTCCAGCCTGTATTTGAGGCAGCTCACAGCTATTCAGCAGACAGGTTGGAAGGTGTATGGGTGAAGGCCAGGGGTCCTTGGGGGAGAGTGGAGCAGTGGACAGGGCTGCTGTGGATGGTGGGGTGGGAGGGACAGAACCTGGTGGTCCCTGGGTTTCAGATACTGAAAAAGGATGGCCAGGATGCTGCATCCTGATTATCCTTAACGCAGAGACGCGGCCAAGGACATGATGACTGAGCTGGAATTGAAGCAGGACTAAACCAGGACAAAAGCAGACGTCGAGGTCCTGGTTTTGTCCTGCAGCTGCTGGTGTGAGGCCACTTTTGTCTGTCAGTCTATAAATGGTTCATTTGCTCGTTAATGCCACCTTGAAAAATGGGCTCCTTTGACCCCTTAGGAATTTGGACTTGTTTTTGAAGAAGTCTGTTGAGTGGGAAGATTCTCAGCTCTACTTAAACAGCATAACGAGGGTTAGTAACACTTGGTTCCTGTGCCTGTGATCTTACTGTCACTGTGCTGTGGGAGCTGGTCTGGACCGCGGCGTGTTCACGTCCCAGACTGACGCTGCCAGCTCGTGCGCGGGCACCTGTCTTTCAGGAGAGGCTTCCTGTTATGTGTAGCTCAGAAATCACTGTCCCCTCACATCAGTATCCAAACATGTAAGGTGTTTTCTTTAAAGCTAATAAACTTTTAAAACTACTGTTTGGAAAAACAGCTACAAGTTAGCCGTTACTCCAGAATCCCTAAAACCAGTCCAAGAGATTTTGGGTTTTGACAGAAATGAGATGGTGTGGGGAGGAAGGTGTGTGCCTTAAACCACGGGTTGCTCTTTCATCACTGGCCCATCATACTGTTGCTTCTGCCTCTGCCTGAACCCACACCCCTCCCAGCCTGACAGAAATGTCCACCTACGCAGCTAGCCCCTCCTAAATCTGTACCACACCTCCCATCTGTCCGCTGAGACATCAGAAGTCGATGTCCAGGTCAGCCTCTGGGCACCCCGAGGTGATGTTACCTCCAGTAAACAGTGCAAGAGATAACATCAAGGTTGTGTAAGAAACATGCACATTCCTTGCGGCACTAAAGTGTACTGACTGCTTGATTTTGTGCTATGGATTTTATAGTGCAAGGTTTCGGTAAAGTTGTCCACAAAGTGTCCTTCCTGTGGGTGGTTTTACTTCTGCACCTCCTGTCCGGTGGTGTCCTGGGTCGTCTGTGTGTGTCTTTGTGCCTCTGCGTACTACGTACGGAGAGAGTGAGAGCCCCTCCTCTCTAGGTGGCTTCCAGCGTGCGGAGCTTTACAAAAGTTTTGCCACATGTATGCTTCCAAAACTTTCCAGTTTCCTGTTCTTCCACTTCACTGGCACAGACTTTTATTTCTTTTGTATTGGCAAGGTTCTCTGCACAGGAGCAATCTGAGAGGGAGCAAAGGAAAAACGCTTGAGTTTCAAGCTGTTCTGTGTCCTAGAACTGCATTATCTTGTCCTTGGAACTATGTTTGCTGTCCCCTTAAATGCCAGGAGGCTTTGGTTCATTATATATGATTCTTCTGGTTCACTTCCCCATTTAACTTACCTTTTGCTCCTGAGTTCTGTGAAATACCCCTCAGGTCTGGATTTATTAAAACTGATTTTCTCTACTCTATATCAAAGGTATATTGTGACTGTAAATTTTTATGTGCATGTTTGCCACAAAGATGGGATGTGGTGAACAAGGCTGTAAGGCTCCGTATTTTCTGACCCCGTAGCACTGTTCCTGACCAGAGAACTCCAGTCGCCTCCACTCACAGTATTAGCAGTGCGGCCACCCCCGATCGGATCCGCTTCCCCAGAGGCACAGCCAGTCGCAGCACTTTCCACGGCCAACCCCGGGAACGGCGGACTGCCACGTACAACGGCCCGCCTGCCTCACCCAGCCTGTCCCATGAAGCCACACCATTGTCCCAGACTCGAAGCCGAGGCTCCACTAATCTTTTCAGTAAATTAACCTCAAAACTCACACGGAGGTAAGTGCCAGGTAGAACTGGTTGTTGGGAACAGAAGGAGACATCTTCTCTATGTGTGAAGCCACTGCCTGGCTACTGTTTATTTTGTCTTTAGCTTGTGCTTTTCTGGTTTCTATATCTAACTAGACTTTAAAACCTTTTAGCAGAGAAATCTCAGTGGAAGTTCTCCAGCACGTGGGAGGTGGTGGCTTTTAATCTCCGTTCCTTTGTATCACACATTTGTCTGCAGAGATCACTGGGGTGTAGCAGAGCCCCAACCCAAGTCAGGCAGGGCTGGCGCTCTGCGCCCTAACGTTCGCCAAGGAGGACGCTTTTCCTCTCCCTCATTTCATTTCGTCGTTACTGAGATGCACTAAGTTTCTTAGAGTCTGAATTGTGAAATTATGCTCTTTGTTGATCTAAGTGATAGTGAAAACTAGATAACTTTCTTAAATGGTATAGTTATGGAGATTAAATCCCTGGTTTATTCTCAGGAAGAAACTAGTATCTGGTTTTGTATAAAATCCTTCATGTGTCCAGTAGGCTGTTATTTGGGGTCTTGGGAAATCTCTGAAATCTCTCTGGGGCCCTTGAGTTATTTTACTTTATTTCCATGATCTAGCTAGAGGTTGCAAAAGCCTAGAAACATTGGCTGCTAGAAGAGGATAAAGAAAATGTGCCACTTTGTACCAGAAGCAAGTAGTCAAAGGCACCGTTAGCCAGGACCTCATCCAGGAAATCTGAGGACTCAGGGTTCCCAGAGGAGACTCAGAGGGAGCCTACCGGTGTGTCTCAGGGGCCTGCAGGTCTCTGCTCACCGGCCTCTCGTTCATCGTGTGTGTCGCTCATAGCACGGTGGGGCACCTTCCTGGCGTCTAGATGGCTGACGCCCTCCGGCTCCGGCTCTGTGCTCCTTCAGGCCCCTCAGCCTGCCGCTCAGGTAGTGCCACCTTCCTTTCTTAACCTGTGAGCTAAATACCACTTAGCAGTCTCCTTAATCCCTTCAGCAACTTTATTTTAGATCAGTCATCTAAAACTTAGATGGGCCACGTTAAACCGTGTCCCCAGAGGGTGTGTGTGTTGTCAGGACGTTGAATACCAGATTAGGGGCGACTTCTGATGTCCAGTGGCATCAGCTAGAGGCCAGAGCATTAGAAGGTTCCACTCTGGCCCCTTTGCTCTCTTCTTGGTCCTTTTGCTGAGACACCTTGCTCCAGATTGGGCACAAGAGCAGGTGTCTTAGGGTCTTGCCAGTCTTAGAATTCAGTCCAAGGAGTTCTGGCAACCTGCAGACTAACTCACTTTTTCCTTTCAGTGTCACCCCACTACCTAACCCAGGCCGTCCTGTCCCCCAGCGCCTTCCACAGGGACGAGGCTGAAATGGAGACTGCCTCTGACACGTGGGTGGAAGGTGAAGCCCGGGTGTCAGTCACCTGGCTGCTCACCTCCCTGACCCTGCCTACTCTCACTGGTGCTTCTCCCGCTGAGCCCTGAGCACAGAGGGGGGACAGCAGCCAGGTCTGGCTGAGGGCTAGTCGCAGCAGTCAGCTTGGTGTCCCTGCGCTTCTTCTGTAGTGGGCTCCTCATTAAAATCCTTGAATTTATTTGTCTCCTTTGCGCTCTTTTTTTTTTTTGTCATCTTAATACTCATCTTTATCACTGGTAAAAATAGTATCAGTTACCATTTACTGAGTGCTAGCTATGGGCTAAGATCAGTAGAGGTCTATAGAGTGTCTGTAGGTATAGATAACGCTCGTTTTACATGTGTGAACACACACGTTCTCACCCACTCATTTAATCTGCACAGCCTACCCTGGGAGTAGGTGCTCCCCAGTTTCGTGGGAGAACCTGGGGATGAGGTTCAGAGAGATGAGGGCATATGAACAAGTGAGTGCTGAGCCGTGCCTGTGACTCCAGAAAAGGCCCCCGAAGCCCCTCCATGGCGCGCCCACAGGAAACGCTGAAGCACTGTCGTGGGCAGGAGCCCTTGCCCTCCTGTCCTAATTAAATTTATTTCTTGTATCTGTATTGAAATTGGAGATTTGGGCTGCTTGTTTGAAAAATTCCAGGGGTGGATCATTTTATTTTATGTTTTCCACCCCCACATTTTTCAGATAGGTCTTCTATCTGGTCTTCTGTTTGTGCATGTTTGCAGGCTGAGGTCTGCAGTACTTAGGGTACTGTAGCATATGGAGCACCCTTCGTGTGTCCTTAGATGTAGTCAGTTTCTTCCTAATAACAGTCGTCGTTGCCACTGTCATCAGTGTCAGCTTCTGGTCCTCCCCTGACTGAGTGTGGTGTGGCGGTTGCAGCGCCCGAAAAGCTTAGGCGCTGGCACTCAGGATCTGCAAGGGAGACCACCCGGGGTGGTGGGCAGGGACTAGGGCTGCTCGTAGTGCTGCCCCGCGGGCTGAGGGGTTGGGAGAGCTGTGGGCCCACCACTTCGGGGGCCTATGGGGGCCCGCTCTTTACCCTGCAAGGGTCAGGGGAAGGAGAGGTTGGAGAAGCAGTCCTGTGGTCCCTGTCCTGTACCCTGACTTTCTTCAGGCAGAAAACTTGGAAGTGAAAATGTGTTTTAAAACCTTTTAATCAATTTTCAGCTAAAACAATCTTTTGAATGACACTGCCTTTATGTAGTGCTTAAGTATTTATAAAATGTTCTCAATGTGTGACCTTTCTCTCCTTGCTATGTACCATATTTAATCTGATTGTGAAGTGGTTGGTGTTCACTCAGAGTAGTTAGAGATTTTTTTAATTGGTCAGTATCTCGAGCAATGCCAAAGTTATCCCAGATTACAAAAAAATAAACCCAGGGGTTCATTAATTCAGTAAGTCAGCAAATACATACACGTGCCTCCTCTGTTCAGGAACGCAACTGGGGTTAGAGATAGTTTGACAGGTTCAGGTCACTCTTGCTTGGGAGTGCTCACAGTATGGTCACACAAGCCTGACCAGCCTGACCCGTAGGTTCAGATTTCCGTGGTCCAGTTCTGTTCAGTACACCCTAAACATCGTCCTGAAATTTTTAACAAGCAGTCACCTCTGTTAAATACCACTTTTCCAGTTTATTTCTGAAACATAAAAGTGAACCCCTACTGTTACCTTGTCATGTAATTTTCATTCATTTCCATATCTAAAACACAAGCCTGCTTATTTTAAGCCCTAGTGACTTATTTTTTGTTAAAAAGTAATTTATAACCGCTGTTAATGTTTAAACCATCCTCCTGAAGTAATGATTTTAATGGTTAAATATTTTATAACAAGCATTTAAAGTTTCTGTATAAGAATGTGAAATTTTGTTCATAAGATATTCTGAAGAAATTGACAAATGTTATTAGTTTATTGCAAATTACTTAAGTCATTATTTAAAACAAGTTGTTGACTTTCTTATCTTAATAGATCCTTAATAGAGCCATACACAAGTTTTGGTACAGCTGACGCCACTACGCAGTGCTCAGTGTTTGCTTGCCAGTGCAGGTTTTACAGATTTCTGCTCAAGATTATATACTCACTTACCTGTGATAACTTTACTTTCTCAACAAATGTCCCTGTTTCATTGTTCATTGGACAGAAGAGGGACCCTGTTTTCTTTGTTGTTTTTCTTTCTCTATTGACAAAGATCTATAATTGACAAGAGTTTATATTTCATTTGTGCAAAGTCATTTTTGTTAATTTTTTTTGGCTTAATTTCTTTTAGAAACATGTCATTCAGGTTTATCAAAAGGTAGGATTTATTTATACACATTTTTTTTTAATCCTCACCTCAAAATGGCTCCTGCAATTAACATCAGGTATGGCTTTCTAGCCCTCTCGTTGTTGTTTGTTTTTTGTTTGTTGTTGTATTTTTTTACTTAAAAAAACTAAATTCTGCTGAGAACTAAATACTTATTTCTTCGAAAAGAAACTGGAGAGAAATAGCTTAACTCTGTCAGGCTTTTTGAAAGCGCTGTGGCACACGTGTAACAAGAGGCCTGCGCATGCGCTGCGCACCGTCTGTCTTTGGTAGAGCTATTCAGCATCCCGTAATTCTGTCTTCACACTAATAACACTCAGCATGCTTCTGTTTGAGGAATGGACGTGCAGTAACATTAATGCACATTCATGGTTAGCCTCAGTGGGCAGAGGTAAGTGGTGGTGTGTGCACTGTCCATTTCCACTCCATGGGGCACTGAATTAACAAAAGGCTTCACAGTGACAGGAAGACGAGCTAATATTCTTATGCTGAAGACAAGCGTGATGTTCAAACCTCATGGCCTCATTGGGTTTGGATTTGGGCAGCCACATGGCAGAAATGTCTGAATGTTTTTAGAATTGAAGAGTAAATAGTATTCTATCCAAAGCCTGTTTCCACCAACCACCGAAGAAACCATGTCTCGTTTTTAATTAAAGCATTTACTGTAATAAATGGCATTCCTACTAGGTGACTGTTTTTTGATGCTGACAGTCAAGAGACCAAAACCGTTGCTCACTACCTTGGAGTGCACACAGGCAAGGCAGAAACGCTACCGCTGGGCCACGCTGGGCCTCGGCCTCCCGGCCAGCCTGCAGTCTCCCTGGCTGGCGAAACCGGCAGGCCTCTGAGAGGCTTTGCTGACCCAAGTCCTTGGCCACCCTGAGAAAGACTGCTTTCTTCCCAAGGGGAACACTGGTCCTGGTCCATGGTGGTTCTGAATTGATCTTCCCAGTCGCCTGGTTTTCCTTGGGCAGAAAATTTTGTCACTGAGTTCAGCTAAACCCAGTTCCTTTTTGTGGAAGCCCAGTGCACTTGGGGGAGCAATTTAAAGGGTCAGAAGGACACCTCCAGCCGAAGGCCAGGAGCCCGCAGCCAGGGAAGCCGGTGTGCAGCCCACTGCCAGTTCAGCCCACGGACCTGGAGAGGAGGGGTGCTGGCTGGGTCCCCACAGAGGGGGGAGAGTCCTGAACTCACCGATGACCTGGGGTTTGTCGGGGTTGCGGTGTTGTGTTTGTGCCGGCATCATGTGCTGCTGTGTAAGATCTCTTTTCTCTCTCCCACTTCTCTGCTTCTGCCTTCTGTTCCTTGAGGCTTCCGACTGAATATGAGAGGAACGGGAGATATGAGGGCTCCAGGTGAGGGAATCGATTTTTTAACTATATTTTATATTAAAGAATGGTAGCAGGGATGCTTTTTCCTGCTGTCTTGGTTGCTGGGTGGGTACGTACTCTTTAGTTGGGACACACAAGTGCCACCACTGTCCCCGTTGCCACCCTTGGGCTGGGCCAGTGCTGCACCACTCCCTGGCGCCACAGGAGGGCACCAGGGAGGAGCCTCCCAGTGCTGCCTGACCTGGGCTTTACCTGGGCCTCTGGGTGTTAAAACACACGTCCCAGGCCTGGGCCCTAATGACCCAAACTGAGGTCTGGGAGTTGGTGGGATTGTTCTGGACACCTTGATGACTTCTAGCATAGTTCTAATCTCAAGTCATGAAAGCAGAATAATGAGTAGGATTTTCATATTTCAAATTAGACTTTTAAAGGAATGATTATGTAGCTGAGCGTTTTGCCTTTAAATTTTGTATAGCTGTCATTCATCAGACTTGGACAGGGCATCGCCAGCTGGGCTCAGGACTCCATGTCTGTAGTCGGTCCCTCCCTTTGTCCCTCTTCGTAGTAGTTGCCACATGCCGTTTCAGGTCTACACTGATCCATCCTGCTCCCTTCCTGGTCTCACAGCTCTGATTATATGACTGAGTGGAAACCAGCAGTGGCCCCATTGTTTGACCCACCATGTCCTGTGAGGCCCTGTGTGGCCTCAGCAACACCTGCCAGTGCGGGCGGAGTGCTGGGTTGAGCGCGGGGCAGCAGTCCACTCGATTCCAGACTCAACTTTGTTCCCCATCCACGATCAGAAAGGAATGATAGGCCCTGCCTCTGGGTGTGGTGACTACAGTGGGCACACGTGCCCCCAGGCAGTCTGTGATAGCCCCAAACATTCTGTGCCTTCGGAGTCCCCTGGCCTCTGCCCATGCTCCCTGTGCACGAGCACAGGGACTCCTGCCCCACCTCTGTGATGTTGTTGAAATCTAGGAGCTCTTCAGAGCTCCTCCCAGATGCCCCGCTGCAGACAGGATTCTCTGCCTCTCCATCCTGCCTTTCCTTGGCACTCCTTCCATGAGGCGGGCCCAGCCTCTTTCCCATGACCCTCCAGCTGTTGCTGCCCCACACCTTCCCTGTGCAACTGCTGCTTCCTGGCATGGCAGGCCTCTCTCCCCCAACCCCAAATTTGTTTGAGAGCTTTTGCTCATTTTTATAGTCTATTCAGTATCTGACACAGCATCTCATACATAGGAAGCCTCCAACCAATTTTGATGGGTGTGAATGCAGTGGAATGTTCTGCTGGCAGGTTGGCAACAGGGAGAGCTGTATTCACAGCAAAACTGGCCTACCCTCAACTCTGATGAATTTGCCAGAAGATTAAGTGTATTAAATACCCCATGCTGGGTGTTCTTCATGCATAAGAGTGTTAGGTATTCACTGTCCTAACTGAGGCTTCCACATAGACACACAGGGAATGTCCACAACAGTTTGTGTCAGTAACAATCAAATGCCTCAGGCTGAGGTAGTAGAGGCCTGTTCTCCAGACCCCTGAGAGACCGTGCCTGGGCCCTCCCTGTAACAGCACCTCGCAGGTGTGGGGACCCCAGTTTGTACTCTGTGAGTCCATAGTTCGCATTCAGTTGGGTTGCTTTGGTGCTCAGCAGCAAACATGCCTTCAATTTCATTTTTCTGTTTCAGTGGTAAGACAGTGTCATCTAAGAATTCTTTTAAACTGAAACTAGATGTTTAAATTAGCAAAATAAAGAGAAGGAAAAATGCTGAGGTGTGGGTAGAGGGGGTTGAGAGAGTGGCCCACCCCCTACCCAGCTGTGCACTCAGCCTCTGGAACCCTTTGCAGGAAAAGTAGTTTGAACTGTGCCAGCCCACCAGTTACTCAGAATGACGGTTAGCAGCGGAGGCTGTGGGAGTTAAAGAGGAACATGGTAGACGAGCTGGGCTCAGCGCATGCACTGTCCCCCGTCCCCCCCTGCCATTCTCTGCTTTGCCTGATTTAACGAATGATTTTTTTCATATATTATATTTATTCATTTTTAGAGGAGAAGGGAGGGAGAAAGGGAGAGACACTGATGTGTGAGATATACATCAATTGGTTGCCTCTCACACACCCTCAACTGGGAACCTGAGCCACACCAGCCAGGGAAATAAACTTTTTTTTTTTTTATTTTAGTAAATCTCAGTAAGTCTGTAATTTTACTTTAGTCTCTACAATGACTGGTAGAGATTTTACAGCCAGGTAGATTTTCTGCATCATGTGGTTTTATGATTTTGGGGGAAGCAAGTGGATGAATACTTCTTAGAAAAGGAGCAGATAACCACACGTGAGCCTGTGCAGGAAAAGTGTGGGCATCGATTCTCACATTGTAGAAGAATCGATCGTGCAGTAGCTAGAGTAGAAAGGGCTGGCTTTCCTGTGCAAATAAAAATAAACCTGCCACTGTGCGTTTCAGTCGCAACGTATCTGCTGAACAAAAGGATGAAAACAAAGAAGCAAAACCTCGTTCCCTGCGCTTTACCTGGAGCATGAAAACCACTAGTTCTATGGACCCCAATGACATGATGCGGGAAATCCGCAAAGTCCTGGACGCCAACAACTGCGACTATGAGCAGAGAGAGCGCTTCCTACTCTTCTGTGTCCACGGGGATGGGCACGCCGAGAACCTCGTGCAGTGGGAGATGGAGGTGTGCAAGCTGCCAAGACTCTCTCTGAACGGGGTCCGGTTCAAGCGGATATCAGGGACATCCATAGCTTTCAAAAATATTGCTTCCAAAATTGCCAATGAGCTAAAGCTGTAACCCAGTAATTATGGTGTAAATTAAAGTAGCCGTCTACAGTTTTCTTGAACACTGATGGAAATGTATAGAATAATATTTAGGCAATAACGTCTGCATCTTCTAAATCATGATATTAAACACGAGGACGAGAGCACGCCAGGGAGCGCGAGCTGGCCTTTTCCTGCGAATGCACTACATTAAAGCTGTGTGACACGTGTGCCCTCTGTCTCATTTCCAGTGCCCGGACGGTCAGCGGGTGACCCCCACCTCCATGTGCCTCTGTGGGCGCGCATGGGCCGTGAGGGGGTAGTGCATACAGAAGCCTCTCCCTGCCCTGGCAGCCGGAGTTGTTCGCAGGACCTCTGTGAGAGATCATTTGGTGCTAAAACGTTAAAATTGCCAAGGAGGAAAATACTGAACTACTACTAAGAATTAACCTTAAGACTAGTTGATAATGAATACAGGTTTACAGTTCATGCCTGTGGTTTTGTGTTTGTTGTTTCGTGTTTTTTTAGTGCGAAAGGTTTAAATTTATAGTTGTGAACATTGCTTGTGTTTTTATAAGTAGATTCACAAGATAATTAAAAATTCACTTTTTCTCAGTAAAACCTCGCATTGTCTCCTAGTGCTGTATTTAAGATTCAGATTAAGGTAGAGACTAAAAGCACCTGTTTTTGCCTTCACCTGCAAGTTGAACAGAAGCAGTGGGAAAGTGTATGAGGCCTGGGGTCACTGTGTCCTTAGCGGGGACCCTGACATCTTGTGATTACGAGCATCCTTTTTCCCCAAAGGCCACAAAGGGAGAAGACGGCCCCCTGGTACCCGCGGAGGAGGGTGTCAGGAGGGGCTGACACCCTCGAGCGACTCCACGTGTCCGTGTGCAGAGTGGGTCTGGACGGCTCTGGATTTCTTCTCTGTGAAGTATGTACTTTTCTTGTTTTCTGTGAACTGTTACACGAACTCGACCAAGAGCTTTTTCCCAGCCCCCCTCTGGTTGTCTAAGGGGTGACGAGCTCATCAGTCAGTCTCATGCTTTACACTCACTGGGGAGCTGTCACAGTCGCTGGTCTGGGTGACTTGTTGGTCACACAGTAGGAAACTCTTCACAAGCACTCAATCACGACACTTACATCTGCCACCACAGGGCACTGTCCTGTGTTTGGGACACATCCACAAACAGAGATCCCTAATCTCTTAAAGCTTATGTTCTACTAGGATGGCAGTCCATCAGCAGTCAGAAGTGAAGTCCCTACTGTGGAACAAAGTGGTAAAAGCCATGAGCAGAATCACAGCACAGGGTAAGGCATTCCAGAGGTCCTAGGGCTCGGACAGGTGCTGTGTTCAATAGAGTGAGAGGTGGGGTGGGGTGCTTGAGTGGACATGGGACTTCAAGGGAAGCCCCCAGCAGAGGTGTGAGGCCGCTGCACGCCAGCCTGCTGGAGTGGAGCAGCAGGCAACGCCATCAGACCCCACCTGGGCCTTGTAGGCCATTCCCTGCGCATGTGTGGGCCTCGTGCGACGTGGGCCAGTGGGAGTTTCCAGCACGGGACCACGATAGCAGCTGTGTTACGACTTCCTTGTTGGGAGCAGAGAGAGCCCAGCAGGTTTGGAGGCTCTTGGCGGTAATTAGGAGGTGACACCCTGGTGGGATGGTGGGTGGGTTCCTGGTATGTTTCAAAATAAGAGTCGAATGCATTTGCTCTGGGGTTAGATACAGGTGAGTGAGAAAAGGACAAGGACTACTGTTCAATTTCTGGTGTGACCAGGAAAAAGAATGCGGCGTGGGGTGGGTCAGGGCAGATTGCTGTGGAGAGGTTTAGGCCGGGTGGGGGAGGAGGGCAGGTGGTCACACCAGGTGGAGACTGGAGAGACCCTGGAGGGCCAGGGTCTGGCTGCTTCCTGTTGAAAGCTGGGAAGGAGGTTCTCTGGAGAAGCGAAGAGGACCCGCCCTGAGCCCGAGCACCCTGTGGACAGGCATCCAGGGAGGGAAGTGGAGCCCGGGGGGTGGGGGGAGTGCTCTTTGACCAAGTGTGGAGCGTGTCATTTTCACCTTACCAGAACATTTCGAACCTTCTGTGTTACGTAAATAAATAGGTCCCCTCCCGACGGGCTTCTCTGACTGAGCTCCCCGTGCCTGGGCCCCTGTGCTGGTTTCCCTGCAGACGCTGCAAGATGCGGCTGAGCTCTGCCCAGCACAGGTGTGGCTGCAGCCTGCTCTTCCTGTCTGTGCACCTGGGACACATGTCAGATTGCTTTCCTTGCTCATGTCCTCAAGGACAAAGTGAACACTGTGAGTGAAACTCCTTTAAGAGAAGTTAGGTCACCACATGCCCTGATGAAGTGGCCACCGTGCAAAAGAAAAGTTGGTGTGGTTCTCTGTCATTGTCTGCATTCCGATACGGCCCTGATCTCGTGAGTGACTGGCATGTCTGAGAGACAAGGTCCATCCAGAGGCGTCGTCGGAGGCAGTCAGACAGCCAAGGGCTTTATTACTGACCGGTGAGGATTGGACTTGAGAGGCAGCAGGGTGTTTCCTGGACTGAGGATGAAACGTGAACTCTCCCCCATTCCTCAGGGGCCCAGCCCTTCCTCTAGATGCTGCCTTCTCTGTATACAGTGAATTTTGAAAAGGAATATTCTAGAGTGTTTAAAAGTCATTTAAGCAGCAAAGACAAGGCCCCACTTTTCCCTTGTTCACTTCCCTGGAATCGAGGTGAGGTGAGGTGAGGTGAGAGGGACCTGGCCGGCAGCACTGCTGGTGTCACGTACCCCACCCGCAGAGTGCTGTCCTGCTCCAGAATCCAGGTGCAAGTTTCAGCTGTGCTGACTTGCCTCTGGTTGGGGTCAGCACACGAGGACCCGAGGCACCGATCCCAAGTGGCATACAGGCTCCCGGACTGTCCTGGTCTCTGCACCTGGAGACCCACGCAGAGAGCTGCTGAGACGCGGAGGACGTGCGGAAGGAAGGGCGGCTGCGGTTGCGGCACAGAGGAGGTCTCTCCCGAAGCCTGGCAAGCAGCGGAGTTTCAGAGGAAAGCCTTCCCGCGTGTGCATTAGGAGCGAGGTGCTGCTGCTGTGGAAACCTCCCCCGAGACCCCTGTCGGGCAGTTCCTGCTCAGTGAGTGAGGCGCAGTGAGCTCGGGAAGCACAGGGGCCTGCGGCCGTCCCCTGGTCTGTGCAGCCCGCAGGAGCACTGGGACGTGTGTGGGCAGCCAGGGGTCAGGACGGGCCTGGGTCAACGCTTACAACTGTGCTTTGGTGGGGGTTTGTTATTGGTGGTTATTGATTCAGGGTTTGGGGTTTTTAAATTGGTAATCTACCATGAGATCATTTCATGGGGGTAAAATGGTTGGCCTTGAAGGGAGTCTTGTGAAGCAAATGACGCGTCTTTCAGGTGTCCTGACAATGTACAGAGGGACCCAGGTCTGACTCCCTGCGAGGGAGACCTAGGCGTCCTTGTGTTCAGGGAGAAGGACTGAGCCCAGCGGTGTTGTCGGTGGTCTCTGGTTTGCCGCTCTGAGGCACTGGAAACCAGGCAGAGGTGACACTTCCTCAGAGGTGGTGGCAGTATAGCAGATGGGTTCAGATGGGATTCAGGGTGAAGAGTGTCTTGGCAGCATTGCGGTCCTCGGGTCAGGAAGAGCTCGGGCCGGGCCTTGGAGCCGTCTTGTGTCCCCAGGAAAGGGAGATGACAGGATGAGGAGGAGCAGCGGGGGAGAGTAGATGGGGAAGGTTGGGGACAAGGAGAGTGGGGTGGGTGGGGCTGAGGCCTTTCTTCAGCCAGCGTGTCAGAGAGGAGAGTCGAGAGCAGAGTGGGTGATTCGTGCCAGGCAGTGTGCCCGGAGGAGCAGAGCTGCTGGGCCTGCCCCTTGGGTCCCTGCAGCTGGGTCTGTGTGGACACAAAGGCTGGCACAGGCTGGGTTTCCTTCCAAAGCAGAGCCTCTTAGAGGACTCAGTCCACCCAGAGGGCAGAGCCCTGTCTAAAGGTGCCTCGGGCAGTGCGGCCTCATGGTTGAGGTGTACACCCTTCACCCAGGCAGCCTGGTTTCCCGTAGAAAGTCAGCATGGTAGTCACATCTCCCTCTGGGGTGTCGGCAGGGTCCAGCAGACAGCAGGTGCAGGGCAGGGCACCCGGCAGGTATTGGTGAGGACAGCTACTCACACAGGTGCAGGACCACAGGCTGTCCCCCTCCCTGCCCCACCGCTCGCTCCCAGCTGGGGGAGGCACTGAGCCCTAGGGCAGCGGGCTCAGACTCTGGACTCTGCCCTTCCAGCCCAGGCGGAGAAGGAAACCCCACAGTTCCCTAAGCACAGGGCACTGGTCTCCCACAGAGCCTGCTGTTAAAAAGTTGACAGCCTGTGCCACTACCTTCCTTGACCCCATGCCTTTCGGCATCCCCAGGGGGCAGGAAGAGCGGTGAGCTGGTATAAGAGCACGGGCAGGGCCCAGAGAAGGTGGACTGCGCCCTCCGCCCCTGCAGGCGTGGCCCATGTCTCCCGAGAGAGGCCTGCTCTGGCCTGGTTTTCGACAGTCCCAGCCCTCCTATGGCACTAGCGGCCAGCACCCGTCACAGACTTGTCTCGTGTGTGCCTCCCACCCTTACTAGAACGTCAGCCCCACAAGGCAAAGATCCTCATCCCTTTTCCCATCTATATCCCAGGTACCCAGGGTAGTACCTGGTACATAGTACAAAGTAAGTATTCAAACGTAATAAAGCACAGGCAAGAGAGGCCTCAGAAGCACCAGGCAGCTTTAGTGGCTTCTGTCAGATCAGTTCTGAGGTCCTGGTGGCTCTGGCAGCCGTCATGCCCTTCCTGCATGACAGCCGAGGCTTGGGGTGCACCAAGGAACCCACAGAGTGGGGTTCCGAGGGTCCAGACGCCCCTCTTCCCCTGCACAGCTGATGCCGCCCTGTGTCCTTCAGCTCAGGCGGGTGCTATGGGTGGGCACAGGAGTGGGCCCTGCCTCAGATGACATTTGCCATCAGACAGGAACCGGCGTTAAAAGACTTGGCTCAGTGCCTTCATCTGTGTCCCTTACCACGGAGTCACACTGTCAGTGTGTTTGGGTTTCAACCTGGGACTTAGCGTCAGGGTGAGAGTCATGGTGTTAACAGTGGCTTTCGCCTCTGGACGCCATGTCTTGGGCTCCAGTCCCTCAGGGAGGTCTGCTGAGCAGGAGTCCTAGTTTGAGGATGTAGGGAAGCTGGTCCTCAGGGGTCACCGGGGGGTGGAGACTAGACCAGTGCCTGCTAAGATCTTGGGTCTGGGCCTCTGAGGGTGAAGGCCGAGAAACGGGGGCCACAGTGTGCCCTTCGGTTGCCATCAGCTTTGGTTTCGTGACTGGGCGGCTGCATCTGTGTTCTTGCTGCTGTTTGTGTGATGGGGCCGATTGGTTACAAGCTCTGAGGTTCTCATCTTTTTCCAGATCCCCAGACACTCAGTTGCTGTGGCTTCTGGCCATGGTGGGGCACCTTCACGCCCTGCGGGATGATGAATAGGGGCCGGCGTGGGGCATCACTGAGAAGAGAGGGGATCAGACTTCGGCTCTTCCCCCAGCCTGTGCCTTTCGTATTTCCTGCTCACGCTGTTCCTCCCACCCGTTTAGCCCACCTCTCCGTGTTATTTTAAGCATCTAGAATCCATCCCTCCGGTGGGTGGGGGGGGTTCAGTAGCTGGGCAGGAGTGCCGGCTGTCCCACCCTGGTGGCGCCTTCTGCGCTCCGGTCGAGCGAGACTCGGGTGTTTGGAGATAAACACTGTTCCATCCCTGAGGGTTGCTTCTCCAAGTCAAGCCCAGTTCTCAGGTGTTTCAGGAAGAGACCTGAAGACTTTCATCATTGTCCTCCATTCATTCACCCACGTATGTATTTGGGGCAGGCTAGGGTGGAGCAGCAGCTGCTCCAGAGGGCCCTGTGCTGA